CTTCTATGTGATAGTTTTCACTTCCGAAGTTTTCTTTCACTCTTTTTCTTGAATTCCAAACCTATGGAATATTAATAAATATTTACCCAAACAACCAAAATAAGCAACATTTGTACCATCATCCTTTGGTCATCCCCTTTCAAACCTCATAAGGCTCATAGTACATACTTTTTCTACTCACACACACATGGACTGATACGATAATGTATCCAAATAGAAAATTCAACAACTATGAAATAGACCCTCCTTAAGTTGATTTGTAAGTATTATCTCAATGCAACACCACAATAGGAAAGTGCAGAGTGCCCTCCCAATTCTTTGGAAAATTGGGAATTCGCCAAAGTTGGGCTCTACCACCAAACATAACGGTTTTGAAAAGTCCCATCCTGAAGAGTATTTGACTGGCTACAGTAGTGTTCTAACGCTGAATTGTCTATATACTATACCTTCCCAAGAAAAAAATGAAATTGTGTATGTGGAAATTAAATTCAAACAGAACTGAAAGAATTAAGCGTCCGTTTAGTACACGAAATTGATGGAATTGGAATTGAACTAGAATTAAAATTTTGTAGGACTGAATTAGATGGAATTGAATTCTCCAATTCCAATTCATTTTTCGCACTACTAATTTCAAATCTACATATTTTTATGCTATCAAACATCAGAATTAGAATGGTAGTTCCTAATTCCAATTCAATGATTTGAATTCTGTATACCAAACGGGGCCTAATTTAAATTGCATATTTTTCTTGCCCAAAAGAGAGATTAAGGAAAAAAAGACTAAAATACGGAGTAGTAAATTATTAAAAATATATCAAAATAGGAGTTCTATTTTTATATTTCTGAAATAGGATTTAAAATTTATTTACATTATCAATCATGATCAAATACATTATTAAAAAGTATTGTAAAATCTTCATATACACTGTCAAATTGCCACAACCCAAATTTCTATTTTGATGATAAAAATATTTAGCTATTGAGATTGATTTCTTTTTTAAGTATTTAAAGAGGGACAAATATCACGGAGCACGTATAAAAATTTTGTCGGGCAGATTGACGTACTTTCTCTATCTTCAATAAAATTTACACTTTCATCAAAAACGCTTTTTTAATACTTCCTCCGTTTTAAAATTACTTTCTCATTTTGATTTTTGCAGTCAAAATTTTTAAACTTTGACTGCATATTACAGAAAACACATATTGAATTTTTATAATATAAATTTAGTATCAATAGATTTATTTTGAAACATAGTTTTGAAATATTATTTTAATAATATATATTCATATAAAAATGGAGATATTAATGATCAAAGTGCCGCATTGGAGGCCGTGAAAAGTCAAATGAGAAATTAATTTTAGGACGGAGGGAATATTTTTTTCAATTCTCAATATCCACTTTAGGGGCATGCTAGCGGTACACCAAAATGTGGTGCCTCATTTGTACACCAGGCAAACACAGGCACTTAGTATCTGTGGATCATAGACACGAAGTATCTGTGTTTGCCTGATGTACAAATGGGGTATCCCATTTTGGTGTACCCATAAGTTTATTCCCCAATTTATATAGAATACTTTTTTAAGGAAACAATGTACCGGTGAACAATATTTGAAAAATAAAATACCTACATTATTTATTTTTCAATGTTCTTTCCGTCCTTAAATATTTTACTTTTTACGCTTAATGAAATAAAATCTTAAGTTTTTTCAATTCATTTTATTTAAAAATTGGTATATAAATAAAAAATAAAATTTGCATATTTAAAAAGTATATATATATCAAAAGTTTCAAAAAACAAGAGCTGATAAAAATATTTTATTTCATCAAATAGTCAATGAAAACAGACAAATAAACAAAAGTTCTCGTAATTTTAGATTAATAAAGTGTGTAAATCAATGAGGAACGAAAAGAGTAATAGAGTATAATAGTGCACTCCATATTTTTTAAAATTTCGTGCAGTCAAAAATGTAAAATTGTGATGAGTACACGAAGTATCACGTAACTGTTGGACCGGACACCTTAATTACTCGTCATGAATTACTCCGTAATGCTTAATTACTTTTACTTTGCAAAAAAGTGATTTTGTGAAAGCTAATTAACTATAGTCTTTTGCAAAAGTCCTAAAGTAATTAATTATTTACAATCCCAAAAATCATCTCTACATATATATAAATATACTACCATCTTAATTATATTGTCATCTCTTCAAGCTAAGGTGTAATCAAGAAACGGTTCATATTTAATTCATTCTTTTCACCTCATTTGCCAGCGTAACTCAGTTTATCCGGTTCGTATATGGACACCTATAGAGGCCAGACCAGACCGCCGGTTTTGATCCGTTCGACGATTATTCCCTTATTTCTGCCGCGCTAAATATAACAAGGTAATTATGCATTATCACCCCCTTCATACGGCTAAGAACATGCCAAGTAGTACGGAGTATTTGTTTAGAAATATTTGCACTAAATAGCAGTATAGCACTCAAAAGTAAGTCATTTCTTTAAATAGCACTTAAATTGTTTTATTCTCTAAATAACACTTAATAATATCTAGTGATGGTAAACATTTACTTCAATAATGATTAATGAATAATGGCTTAAAGTATTACATTAGAAAAAAAACAAATATGTTGCTATTTAGGGAAAGTCATTATGTTTTAGTGCTATTTACATGAATTCCTCATTTGTTTAATATATATGTCGATATATAATAGCCTCGTTTGGGAACAACATTTTCGATTAGCTTTAGCGTTTTAGATAAAAATTTAATGGTGTAGATTAATTCTCAAAATGGTAACGCTAAAGACTACTGCAGGGCCGGCCCAAAAAAATAGAAAAAAAAATTGGCCGGGTCCAAAATTTTCATTTTGTGCCATATTTTATATTTTTAGAATACTTTTCCTTTAAAATTATTAACAAATTTAAAAATATGGTGCCCTAAATTTTAAGTGATCATATGCGGTTGGCCACTTTGCACACCCTCCGGCCACCCATGGACTACTGTCAGATAGTTTTTTCAAAAAGCTAATGCTTATCTCTAACAGTGATGCCAAACCAGACTAATTATTCATACCATTCGTTACATACAATAATATTATATGTGACACAATATAATGTACTCCGTATATGAAAAGTAAAAAATGTACAAGTAATAGTGGTGTATATATATTAGTGTTCTTGCATTGTACTCCGTATATATCATTGCATTTGTTTGTGATGGTAAAACACACCTTAGATCGGACTTGTACAAGGGTAGTCGATTTAAATTGGTCACGACAAAATTTTGTTCGTGACAATTAAACACTCTTTGATGTATACGAACTAAGCTTGATTATGTGTGGGAAAACAATGTGGGAAAATGTGTGGGGAAAAACATGTGACAAAACTTGTTGGGAAAAGGAGAGCAATTTTTCCATTTTATTGGGATAGAATCATGACTTTTATTCTGATGAAGATGAGTAGGTGATTAGTATTGGAAGAAAGCAATGTAATGTTCTTTGCCGTGTTAATTAGAACTACATGTGGTGTATAAATTTTTCCATAGTACATGTCAAAAATTGTCTCTATCCCAGAAAACACCTAAATATTTTTATTATAACAGAGTAATATAAAATTAATACTTCTTCAGTCATAAATTTTTTTCTGGATAAAATTCTTATAAAGTCCCTATATTTTTTTAAAAGCGCGCCTCAAGTCCCTAAATTATTTTAAGTACTTCTCAGATCCATATACTCTCTAACTAGTGCATAGATAGTTCCTCCAGTGACTTTTCCGACCAAAATTACGGCATACTATCCATTTTTCTTTAAAAAACATTATTCTCTTTTTGCCCTTCACTTATTAGATTCCTATTTTTTAAAAAGTACTCCTTAATTAGATCCCTATATTTTTGACCGGTGCATAAGTAGTCCTTCGAATTCCCACAGTTTTGTTGCAAGTCATCATTGGCATAACATATACGAGTATTTTTTAAAAAATGATATTTTATCTTTTTTTTCATTTTTTATTCAAGATGTGCTCCTAGATCATAAGTGATGTTAAACACTACATATAAAAGAAAATGGACGGTATGCCGGAGTTTTGGCCCGAATAGTCACTAGAAAGACTTCCTGTGCACCATTTTGAAAGTACACAAACTTGACAAGCACTTAAAATAGAGGAATTTACCTAAATAACACTAAAACATAATGACTTTCCATAAATAGCACTACATATGTTTTTTTTCTTAATATAGCACTTTTAGTCATTATCCATTAATCATTATTCAAGTAAATATTTGCAATCACTGGTCATTATGGACATTATAAAGTGCTATTTAGGGAAGAAAATAATCTAAGTGCTATTTAGAGAAATGACTTAAGTTTTAGTGCTATTTAGTGCAAATATTTCCTTAAAATAATTTAAGGATTTGAGAAATATTCTTGGAAAAGTATAAGGACCTAGTAAGACTTTTACTCGAAAAATTTTACATTTGACCTTTATTAGTCAAATTTTATAAATTTTAACAACAAATAATGAAAAAGAACGTAAATTTAATATAATTAGATCAATTTTGAGGGATACTTTTAATATATCGAGATGTATGTTATAATATTAAGTGAGGGCTATATATGAAAAGCTAAATGCAAAGATATTTTTGGAATGGGAGGAAGCAAAAGTCAGTCTCAGTCCTGTTTTCTCTTGGTATTAAAACGCATGCCTACGCAAGTTTGAATAATAAAAACTAAATTAGGACTATTAAACCGTACCACACCATAATTAATAAACCTATAAATACTCCCTTTAATTAACCCTTTATTCACAAAATCCTGCGTCCATTTTTTTTCTCTCCTCGTCTCCAATAACTACTATACATCATACCAGGCACTTAGCTTTCCCTTATTTGTAATTCTATTAATTAATTCTTTGTTATTATTATTATCGTTTTTCATTATTTGCTCTAAATATAATTCCCGTGACCAAAAAATTGTTCAAGTCGTTGCGTTTGTTCTTAAATAGTGCGACGTTTTGTTGTGTGTGATGCCAGATATGGCGAGTGTTACGGCGGGCAAGTCACAAAAAATTTGGTGCATGAGGGCAAGCACACTATGTATAGGATGGAGGTTCTTTGTTGCTTTGTGCTGCTTGTTGCTCTTTACATCTCCTAGCCAAGCAACTAGGAAAGGGGTTCATCGCCATCCATCGTATGTTTAGTTATGTTGTTATTCATTTGGATTTGCTTAATTCTTCTAATTAATTAACGTTACTAATTATACATTTATTCAGCCAACGTAACTATGCATGTATACTCAACGTACTACATACAGTTGTAGTTTGTATATATACATACAATGTACGTACGTAGAATGCGTTATAGAATTACGGATCGAGTATTATTATATTGAATTCAAGCAAAGGTTAATTAATTTCTTTTAAACAAATACTAATAATTGACTTGAAAATAAATATTAATTGACTTGAAAATAACATAATAAGTCGTCAAACATCGTAAAATGTACGGTAAAGAAATCAATGGGACGGCGAGAATATATAAGAAAATATAGTTTTCCTTTGACATTTCATTTATTTTGCATGAAGTATATATGTTATGTCTTCCTTATATTTTGAATTATATATGTATATACAAGAAGCTATATTTATTAAGAAGTACTAATAATGTTTTCTTTGAAACTATAGGTCAAATTGGGCAAAACACACTCAAGAATTGAAGGCATCTACACCATTGAGACTTGACATCACACGGACGCATGTAAATCTAAACTCTATGGTCTTAGCAAATTACCAAACATAATTACAAATTTACAATTGGAAGTTACTCCCTTCGTCTCTGAATATTTGTCCATTATTGACATTTTTTGGTCAAATTTGGATAACTTTGGCTTCAAATTAATGAAAAATAATACTCCCTCCGTCCCATAAAAAAATCTCATTTTGACCATAAATTGGTCAAACAGTTACACGCTTTGACCATAAATTAAATATAATCTAAATAAAGAAATGCTAAAAAAATTTGAGATATCAAAACTAGATCCTAAGATGAATCCAATTATATTAAATTTATTTTCTAATTCAATATACCTTTCTCACAAATTGTAGTCAAAGCGTGTAAATATTTGACTAAATATTATTCAAAATGGAAACTGTTTTGTGGAACGGAGGGAGTATTAGATATTGATACAAAAATAGTTTTATTAGATTTTGTTATATGAAATATTTTCAAAATGTTATTTTATCTAATTAAAATACAATATATATATATATATATATATGTATATATATATATATATATATATATATATATATATATATATAATTTAATTATAAGTCAATGATTGAAAACGATTGATTGAAAAAAATAAAAATTTGACAAATACTCAGGGATGGATCGAGGTAGTATGCTGTAATAAAAATCCTACATGGATGTGCATGCATATAATGTATAAAGAAAACTCTAATAAAAGAATTTAAATTTATGGTGGGTGTAGGTGGTGATGGACAATGGATTGGTGAGAGTGACACTGACCAATCCAACCGGAGGAATTGCAGAGATCCAATACCATGGAATCCGCAACGTACTCGAATCTGGCTTTAAAGAAACAAACCGAGGGTATATTAGTAATAATATCAATAATAATTAATAATAATAAATATTCTAATAATTAATAAAATTATACATGCATGCATGAAAACCCTTGCCAATTTATATTTTTTAAATTATCCTAAATGCAAGCATGCAATGTCACTTGTATTGTGTGCAGATATTGGGATATTGTGTGGAGCACGCCAGGAATGGGAAATGGCGTTGCAAACTTTGATACGTACGTTGTTAATAAGCTTTTAAACTTCACCCAGTAGACAATGATTATATTGTGTGTGCATTATGTATATAAAACATATTGTGGCAAACTTGACGTGACAGTTTTCGATAGGTCCCCTTTGAATTGAAAAAAAAAACATCTTTGAATTATTTTATTTTGAGTTTTTCAAAATTATTGCATTGACTAAAATGGTTAAGTGTTTATTGAAAGACCGTAAATAATCAAACTCGAGGAATCTCGTAAGGCAGTATTATTATGCAAAGAAATCACCTTTAAATAGGAGTAAATATAGAAAAAATACAAAAGTAGGAACACCATGTTTTTATTTCCAAAATAGGAATTCGTATTGTAAGTAATGTGGCACTGTACATGGACATTTCACAGTATTATATTTTTTGGTAATGTATTGGGTCATGATTGATACTGTAAATTGTTTTAACTCTTATTTTAAGAATAAAAATATGGAACTCCTATTTTGGTATATTTTCAATGTTTTATTCCTATTTTAGTCTTTTTCCATATCATGATGATGATCATGCATGCATGCATGCTGTGCGCAGGCTAACAGCAACAAGCTTCAGAGTAATAACATCAGACCAAAATCAAATTGAAGTCTCCTTCACAAAAACGTATGATCCCAGAGATCATTCTAGTGTTCCTTTGAACATAGATAAAAGGTACCTCTACATACTCTACATCTTTGATATCATTAGCTAAACACTTCCAAAGCATTACGCATATATGCATCAAATATGCATGACATGTACCTCCATGTTTTCAATGAAATGATAAAATTAAAATCTCAAAATAAACAACATACTCCCTCCGTCCCTGAGTGTTTGTCCACTTTCATTTTTGCACATCATCCAATGCACTTCTTTAATCCATTTTATCTTGTAATTTGTATATTAAAAAATTATAAAAATTATATATTAATAATCTATATGTTAAGACGAATCAAACAAGATTACACATGACTATTTTTTGGCTTACACATTGAGAGAATTTGATGAGTCAAAGTGCTTTGATAAATAGTTCCAAAAGTCAAAAGTGGACAAACACTCAGGGACGGACCAAGTATATAATATTATAGGGTTATTTATTATAGCTGATTTAATTTGTACATTATAGGTATGTGATGTTGTCTGGCCAATCTGGATTCTACACGTATGCGATTTACGAACATCTTAAAGGATGGCCTGACGTAGACATCGGCGAAGCTCGAGTTGCTATCAAGCTGCAAAGGAAATTGTAAGATGCACTATGTATATACCATATACTTTAAATTTTTTATATGTAGGCTATGTTATTTATTACGGAGTATTTGTTATTATTATGACAAGTCTAATTGTATTCAATTAATCGCGTATGCACGTACAGGTTCAATTACATGGCAATATCAGATGACATACAAAGAAAAATGCCAAACGACAATGATCGTTCCACCGGACAGACCCTCGACTATAAAGAAGCAGTTTTATTAACCAACCCATCAAATCCAAGTATGAAGGGCGAGGTATACATATTTACATTTGTATATTCATCTTATTACATTTCGGGGTATGTACTTATCTTATACTCCCTCCGTCCCAAAAAGAATTTCCTACTTTAATTAACGTGCAAAATCCCATAGATTTTAAAATGATTTTATTTACAAATTGGTAAGGAAATAACACATAAAAAAATTATATTTAAAAAATACATCGAAAACTCTACAAAATAAGAGGCGACAAGAATATTTTATTTTATCAAATGATCAATGAAAACACGCAAACAAATAAGAGTTATCGAGAGGCCGTAATAGTAAACAGGAAAGACTTTTTGGGACGGAGGGAGTATTCCCTTAATATTTTTGAACTCTTGAATTAATTTGTTGTACGCGACAATATTTGTTTAGGTGGACGATAAATACCAATATTCGTTAGAAAGCAAGGATAATAAAGTACATGGATGGATTTGTGCCAAACCACATGTCGGGTTTTGGGTCATCGCGGGTGGCAACGAATTCCGGTCTGGAGGGCCAATAAGACAAGACCTCACCTCTCATGCTGGTCCAACCGCCTTATCGGTATGTCATTAATACTCTATATAATTAGTGATATTCCTTAAGTACTACTTTGTATATATATTTGTTAAAACAAAGATTTTGATTTTCATTTTTTGTTGCTGGGTCATTAGATATTTTTCAGCTCGCATTATGCCGGTTATAACTATGGTGTAAGCTTGAGAAACGGTGAAGCCTGGAAAAAGGTCTTCGGCCCTGTGTTTATGTATCTCAACTCTGATCAAGGAAATGATCCCAAATCTCTTTGGGAAGATGCTAAGCGTCAGGTACTAATTAATTAACTTAACTAGTTAATTGGGAGAATATATATCCCATTTTAAATTACATTGTATATATTGAGCGATTATTATGAAATTAGTTAATTACTAATGAGATACTTTGTTTTGTATATCATCATCATTAGATGGATGTAGAGACTAAAAGTTGGCCTTACAATTTCCCAAAGTCTGAAGACTACCCAAGTGCTAGTCAACGCGGTACAGTTACGGGTCGATTGCTCATCCGTGATAGGTAATTTAAAATTTCGATTCATTTGATTTGTTTTAATTTCCACAGCATTTTAATTTTAAAAACCAATACTATATGTAATAAATTAATGGATTATATATAAATGTGTGTATATATATATATATATAGGTATCCGAGTAAAGAGCTTATCCCAGCAAAAGGTGCATATGTAGGCATGGCCCCACCAGGAGAAGATGGATATTGGCAGGAAGATGCCAAGGTTGGAAATCATATTTAACTTTCTTAAAAATAAACAAGTTTTATTTTTCAAGATGAATTGAGAACATAAATGATGAACATTTTTTTATGTAGGGCTATCAATTTTGGACAGAAACAGATGATAATGGGTATTTCAAGATCAATGCAGTAAGATCTGGAACTTATAACTTGTATGGTTGGGTTCCTGGAGTTCTTGGAGATTATAGAAACAAAGTGGAGATTATGATCAAACCAGGAGAAGAAACCAGTCTAGGAGAGCTTGAGTTTGATCCTCCTAGAAATGGTCCAACCATTTGGGAAATTGGCATCCCCGATAGAAAAGCTACCGAATTTTTTATCCCTGATCCTTCACCTGGCCTCATGAACTACGCTCTGCTCAATCATACCGAAAAGTAATTACCACTACTTTATATCCACTATATGTACATATATACATACATATATGTATCTACACACACACACACATACAGCCTTCCCCACACACAGTTAAACTAACAAATTTCAAAACTTACAGATTTAGGCAATATGGATTGTGGGATCGTTACACGGATATATATCCTTTTGAAGATTTGGTCTATACAATTGGAGAAAGTGATTACCGAAAAGATTGGTTTTTCGCTCACGTCAATAGGTACTTTTTGTGATTAAAAAGAACCTTTGCCTCCCCTTATTTAGAAATCTATTCTTCTTCTTCTTTTTGTTTTCGACAGGCCTTAATCAATTTTTGTTAACATGACAAAATATAATGTTGTAGGAAAGTTGGGGACGACAAGTATGAACCAGCGACATGGAAAATTTCATTCCAACTCGAGAATGTTAGCCCGACAAGAACCTATACACTCTGGATAGCATTAGCTGCCACCAACTTAGCCAGGATTGAGGTTTGTATTACTATATATGTAACAAAGCTTGCTTTGCATTTACAATATAGTATGTAGTATCATATAATGACATTTGTGCACTAGGTTTTGATAAACAATCCGAATTCACGCCCAAGATTCTCAACAAACGGAAGTGGAAGGGACAATGCCATCGCAAGACATGGGATTCATGGACTGTATACACTTGCGAGCTATGAGTTTTCAGGAACTTTACTTTTGGAGGGAGAAAACACAATATATTTGCGGCAACCAAGAGGAGGCTATCGCTTTAACGGTGTCATGTATGACTACATCCGTTTGGAAGGGCCACGCTTCTGATGAGACATGTATATATACATACACACGGAGGGTGGAAAGACAATGTCATTTATTTGTTTGTTTGTTTGTTCATGGAAATAGATAATATAGTATATTGTTTATAGTGCATGAAGGGTGAAGTGGGGGTGATTTATTCTCAAATAGTAGTTGATTGTATTCTTTGATTTGTAAGTGTATATTCTTTCATCATTTCCAATACAAGTTTTGAAATGATAATGAAGTTGATGTTTGTTAGTTTTTGTCTTCATATTCGATTGGTTTTAACCATTTTGCAAATGTAGGGTCAAGTTTATGTTGTTTGTGTGATATTTATTGTATACATTTACCATGTGATATGAATCTTATTTGCAATTCCTAAAAGAAAATCATGTTATGTATGTTTTATACTTTTCTTGCCTTGAACAAATGGTATGTGCAACCCATCATTTTGGGGAGCATTATATAGCTGTTTTGTGCCCATAATTCCAAAAATAGTCGAAACCGAACAACTCTCGTGACGTGCATCTCTAATTGCCGGGGAATTAAATCAAATACTCAATTCGTCCCATAAAAGAGGTCACATTTTTCCTTACTGGCAAGGCATCAAATCATATACCACTTTCAACCTTTTCATTTCTACATGTTCAAAAGAAGACCACAGTGAAGTAATTTCACACTTTTTGAGAATAATCGAAACATGTAAAAATATGAAACATATTTATGATCCAACACATAGTGCGTGCTACCTATTTACTTTGAACACCTAAACAAATGAATGTAGCTCCTTTTAGCTGCCGCAAACTGAGGATATGATCTTAAATAATAGCATATGGTAGTCTAGGATTGGAGTGGTAAGATAGTCCTCTAGACTTTAGTTTGTAGTTTTTGCATATGTTTTGTTGCGCCTAAATTTGTAGTTTCTGCACTGTTTTGCATGCATTCTTACGTTGTTCATTCTACTTTCCTACATCAATTTGGTCCTATATCTTGAGCCAGGGGTCTCTTGGAAACAATCTTTCTACTTTCTAAAAGTAAAATTGACACACACACACACCCTCCTCAGACCCACACTGTAAGATTTTTTACTGTGTCTGTTGTAGACTGACTGGTTTTGTTAAGATTTAATTCCAAACAGTATAGACTATAGAAATACCAATGAGGTTAAAGGTGAGAGCAAGAAATATTGGATTTATTATTGAATGTTCATATAGAGTGGTTTAGAGAGCCAAAGCATTTCCGAAAATTCTCTCTATATGTTGTGCAACATCACTGGGTATTGCATCCTCTACTCTATATAAGGTTAATAATGTCAATTGCGAGCCGCAAACAACCATCTTTTGGTAAGTAAATGGCCCATCGCCAACCTAGGAAGATAAACACATCAAACCTGTTTATTTCTTGTCTAATCACTGCACTTTGAGAACTATCTTCATGAACTCGTACATAAGATAGCTTATAGCAGCTGATGGCAAAACCTGAAGGGTAGATGAGAGAAAATGAGGCAAACAAAGGAAAATGGCAAGGAAAGAAAACTTGAGGGAAAATAAAAGGGCTTAGACATCAAACTCAGTATAAATATTTTCTTAAATCCAAATCTATTATATATATATATATATATATATATATATATATACACGTAGTATTTATTAAACAACGAGTAAGAAATATACTCCCTCCGTCCCATAGTATTTGTCCACTTTCATTTTTACACACCATCCAATACACTTCTTTAATCCATTTTATCTTGTAATTTGTATATTAAAAAATTATAGAAATTATATATTAATAATCTATATATTAAGACAAATCAAACAAGATCACACATGACTATATTTGGGCTTACACATTAAGAGAATTTGATGAGTCAAAGTGCTTAGATGAACAGTACCAAAAGTCAAAAGTAGACGAATACTCCGGGACGGAGGTAGTATAAATTATAAACATATGAAAAGTTTGAAAAAATTTACTCTTTTTTTTGCATTTCCGAAGGCAAAGCCAAACATAAGAAAATATCTTTAGCAAAAAAAATGCGGAGTGAGGCATGTGATACCTGCAATAAGCTGGGAGTAAGTCCGGCATAAAGAGCGGGAACGCCACCTTGCTCGATAACTTTCCCAAGAGTTGCCAGTGCACTCATCTTCGAAGCACTTGTCTGCATCTGAAGCTGTCTTCTCACAACCTCAAAAGGGTATGTTGCAGCTTCAGAGCAACAACCGGCAATGGCCCCATACATCAAAGTTCTTAACGGACCCATCTCCAATTGTTCCAATGCATTCAGTTCTTCACCGTGTTCCTTCTTATTCTGTAGCCGCTTCCTCCCTTCGGGTGAATGCAAATAAGATGATTTCAAAATATCATAAACGCCATAGAAAACTGCACCTGAGGGTGCCATGCTTATGATAGAGGGAAGCAGTCCTTTGTAAAGAGAGAAGAACCCTTCGGTTTGGATCATATGACGGAAAGCACCAATTATGCCTCCCAGAGCTTCCCCTCCAGGCGCTACCATTATTGTCCTGACCTGAAATAGGTACAAGCAATAAACCAAAGCTGACTATTTAAAACCCATTTTCTGTTTTACTCGATGACGTCATTGGAATATCAAATTGCAATTTTTGAAGTATAGAATGTCCCAGATTCTAGATAGCCGATCTCAGATTATTGTATCATATTATGATAAATACAGAGTATATAATAGTATCAAACAGTTAATATCAGAAATGGTCCTACAACTATTTACACTTTCTTATTTAAATGTAAGCTATAAAATCTACTATTGCTCTTGTACCAGTTTTGTGAATCCCCAAAAGCGCTAAATATACATTGAATCTGAGGGTAGATATGTAAAATCAAATCACTTGAAATGGAACTATAAATCAACAAGTCAACAACTCAGAGATTTCAAGGCACATATGGATTGATCTTAAATATTTTAGTTAAGGTCCAAGTGGTTGATGATTCTTGTAATGAGCGACCAAATTCAGTACAAATCAATAGTTTATTTACCATGTTGTACAATTCAATAGCCCAAGATAGAAACTGTAAATGTCAATTGTAGAGGGATCATATTTTGCAAAACTCTAGAATCTATCAGACTAACTCACTAGTCACTACGACATATTGCAAACCTGCTCACCATTTCACTTACTGTGACTGCATGGGTATTTAGACTAAAACTGAAGCACAAAAATTGAAGTAGCAATGATAAGTAATGTTGAAGTTATATCCATGGATAAGTGGATAACATATAATATGCAAATAAGTAAACCGTGTATTTCATTGATGAAAAGCACTACTATGCAACAAAAATAATTAATGTTTATGATTTTTCCATTGGGAACACCTTGAAGAGGTGCCTTAATGTACACCTCAAGAATATAAGTAATGGCTAATTACTCCTGCAATAACAACTAAAACCAGTAAAATTCCACAAGTAGAATCTCGGGAGGATGTATGTAAGCAAACCTACCCTTGCTCAGAAGGATAGAGGTTGTTTCTAAGAGACCTCCAGCTCAAACACGGATGCACAAACAAAGTAAACAAAAAAAGAAAACCCAGTACCACAAACAGAGTAAGAGAAAAATAAGAACACAAAGATATGAAGCATACAAACCAACACTTCAACTTCAACTGGATCCAAAGCACATAAAATACATATCCACAAGCTACAGATTAGGATAAAATGCACCAGCACAAATTACAAAATAAAGCCCAAATGTCTACCCAACTACTCTAAACCCTAAACCCTAAACCTCCTTGTGCAATAAGAGGAAGTTAATTTCACCCAAGGAAGGTATTTCATAAATCCTTGCTCTAAAAATAAATCAGAAAACTCATTAACGGTTGTAAGATATTACTCACAGTGTCCATGGGTATGCAGAGCACCGTAGCAGTGATACCAGCTGCTGCACCAGCAATAAACATCTCAAAGTTTGTTGTTTCTGCATTGCCTGATGATTTGAGCAGACATTCTTTATACTTTTCATAAGAATAGAAGTTTATTGCCTTAAAAGGAGCAGTGCGTAAAATATTGACCAAATTCCCTTTCCAAAACCCCTTAATTCCTTGACTGACAGCAATTGTTCTGATGAGATCAAAAAGCTTCTTCTGCTCACCACGGACCATGTACTCCATTTTCAGTCTCTCTAGAGGTGCAACAAAGGTTCTGACAAACACAAGAAAATGAAGGTATTTAGAATTTTCTAGATGCTACGTTTTCTGTACAGCTGACTATGTGCAAAAACTCTGTAATAGGCAAGACTCAGTATAAAACTAAAAGCTACTCTGCACTGCAGAAAAGTAGGTGGTATACTTGTGTGACATGTAAGAGTCCGTGTTTCTAATGGCGGATGGCAAAACATCTGCAACGCCATGACTCCCATTAAATAGTACTACTGAGTAGAATAAGTGCTAAGACTATTAATGAAAGCCCACACCTAATAGCATGCATAGTTTTAAACTGCACCCAATAAATCTTTATGAAAGTCAAACATGTGAAAAGATTGATGACATAAAATTTTGTTACTACAATTACTACTTTCTGAAATTCTTAGAGATGAAGAATTTTAGCCACTCACTTCATTACATTGACAGAACAATAAATGGAGTCTTATACACGGAAAATTTCAATTTGCACCACTACTGCTTTCCCCTTCTAATGTTCCTTCTCTTAACAAAAAGTAATTCAAAGAAGGAATCAAATCGTGAATTCTTTACTAAAAAATAAAATAAGCTGCAAGACACATCACAAAATCAAAGAAAAATGTGAATTTAGGCATTGCTGAAATATGTAACTAATGATGATAGAACAGAGGCCAGTGAAAATTTTGCAAGTTTATTGCTAATTTACGGAGTACATTGCATTTCCATTTGAAATAGCACTAACCTAGTGCAATCATAGAACATTCCTTGTTCCTAATTCCTGTTGAAAAATCTTACCTAGAGACCATGGCGGCAACAGCTCCAGCCCAGAGATGCTTAGTTACGTTCAAGGCGCGCTGACCTCCGCTACGAACCCTAGGCTTCTCTTCCTCCCCCGTCAGCCGATACGCCTCTGCCTCTCTAGCCACGCCATTCTCACCGCTCGGCCCCAAAATCTCGCTCGAGTCCTCGCCGTTTTCTCCCTTCACAGTCAATGACACGGACAAGAACATCCCTCGGCCTCCCCGCCGGCATACCTCCGCCGCACCGACCCATCTCCAGCGATCGCACCGAGCAGCAAACGAAACGGTACTAGAGGATGACGCAGAAGAACTCCGGTTAGTGATAGACGATACGAACGATGCCGGAACCGAATCTTCGAGAAACAATCCTCCCCCGCTATTTACTTTAATCGATTCCGACGAAATCTTGGTCGGGTATTGAACTTCGCCGGGAACTAGTGCACTCAAATTTCCTAACCAAATCTCGGAGCTAAACATTTTGGAAAAGGAAATTTTAGAAAAAAGCGGCAATACCGATGAAAATATTGAGCTAGCCAAATTACCAAATTTTTAACGAAATCTACCTAAGACATTAAACTTAGGTTTGGAAAAATGATTTGGGGAAGTTATATTTTCCTTTATGGTGTTTGGCAATTTTAGTAAATTAAGGTCAAAGTAAAATACTCCGTAAAAGCAAAGATCAACGACTTCAACGTAAAATAAGTTACTTCTTTCATTCTTACAAGATTATCATAATTTGATTTTATTAGTCAAATTGTGATACCTTTAATAGATGTATTCCACATTTTCAACTATCACCAGTCCATGGTTGGATCCACAATGTCTGACTGGTCAAACGATATATTATTATAATCGAAGTATTATTCGACAAAGGTTTATATCGGTCGGTGTCAGAAAGCCGACCAATACGTTTTGACTCTTTTACGGGTCATATCACAAAGCTTTTTTGATCATCTTCAATCTCTATAAACCCATCATGCGTAAACCTAACAGGTAGGGCAAAGTGTCGGCATGAAAGGATCTAGGCAAGGTTGAACGATAGCGGCTGAATTTAACGAAAAATCACCAAAGATATTTGCACAATCTATCCAATACGCTATGCGACAAGGAAGTCACTTTCCTAACAAGATGACAAGAGAATAAAGGGATAAGACAAGCCACTAAGGGACAAAGGCAGTCACCTTGCGCCACCCAAGAACGTGACCTGACGTGGGTGTGCGGCGCCTTATCCCCTCTAGCTTCCTATAAATACTTGTGTAACCCTCAAATGAAGAGATCCAAAAGTCACCTCTCTAGAATTCATCATATATATCCTTTAATATAATATTTGAGAGTTGATGCCTTAGAATTTTGACATGTGGCATTTTTTAAGGTTTTGTTCTTTTGACACGTAATGTGTACACGCGTCATTCTCTGGGGTTTTTTCACTTCTTCGGAGACCTTGGTTTTCACGCAGCCCTCTTCTACAGCAATTTTCTAGGGTTTTTTTTTCACTTCTACCACTTCAAACCTCGCGCAGCCCTCCTCTTCGCCAGTCAGGATCTTCATCGCCAAAGGTATCCGATTTCTTCTTCGCCAATTACGATCTTCGATTCCAATTGATGTCATCGATCGACTGATGTACAATTTCTCTCTTTCCTTCTACAAACAACAATTTTGTTGGAGTAATCTATACGGGTAATTGGCGATGTAGCGGCTCTCGAATTGGTAAGTTTAATTAGCGAACCAAAAAAATGAAATTCACACTATTATTTTTTGTTAAATTCACTTTAATTTTGAATATTATTTTCCTGGCCAATTTCATTGATGCCATTGGATGTTTCCTTTGCGATTTAGGACAAGTTGTCTTACCAATTGAGGAATGATTGACCTGCATGTTTAAAATAGTCTATTTATTGAACCAATGATCTATGTGTTTTGAGTTTCTTTTAACAAATGAGTATCTTTTCATTGTTGAACCAATTTAACTAATTTTTTCCCATTGTAATTGAATAAAATAGTGTTATGGTAATAGTGTTATGGAACTATCTTTCAACTGATTGGTTCAAGATTCTTTAAACTATTGATTGGTTCACTGACTTACTTCAAAGGGTTTTAATGGTTTGATAGTTTGAGTTTGCTTTAGCAACACATTTCCCTTATACTTTCTAATCTTTGAGTAGTTGATAATTTTTTATTTTTCCTTATTATTTTGCAGGATAGAGAATTTGTGTTTAGGGCTGGAGCATATGCAATCCCATATTATTTTCCATAATGTTCTACCAGTTCAACAAGTCCAGGATAGATTATCAAGAATTCCAAAAATTAGTTTTGAAGTGGTCTTATAAACTGCTTATAATATTTTTCGTACATGTTTATATTGGATCATACTCATTGTTCAATTCTTTGAGTGTTTGGTATCTTGATACTATGATGAATCTTTTGGTAGTTTTGTAAAGATGAATCTAAATTGTGCATAGAAAAATCATATACTCCATGTGTACTTAAAGAGAGTTTATTTTATTGACAAATCAGCAGCCACGCGTCATTCTCCCATGCGTTTTCCAAGCGGAAGAAGAAAAAGGAATTGCCGTGCGTCATTCTCTTCGTCGTCCCAATTTCCAGCGGAAGATTCCTTTCTCCCCTTTCCATCTTCATCGCCTAGAAATCAGCAATTTCCAAGATTTTTTCAAGAATTTCCATCTTCATCGAATCAATAGGGTCTCGCGGATCAACATTCCATCTTGAACAAGGAAAGACTTCAAATTAGGTATTTTTTTTCCGTAATTTTTTGTGGGTATTTATATATTCTGGAGCAAATCCAGAAATTCGATATGGGGTCATTCCATGAGTTCAAAAATCTCAGTTTCTTTTTTATCCATTCACAAAATTTAGATTAATTTTCAGACATGATTTGACTATTAAGTCTCAACTTTGTAATTTCAAATTTTTAAGTCCAGTTAGTTACAATGTCTAATGTTTAGTACAACTGCACAAGTAATTACAGAAGCTTCTTTCTGTGTTAAAAATGTTTGATCCGTGCACACAATTTAGGTTCATTTTCAGACTTACTTTGACTCTTAAGTCTCAACTTTGTAAAATGAAATTTTGAACTCCATTTAGTTATGAATGACAGATTTTCCAAAGTGCTTTTATCCAGCACTCTGGACTGCTTTTTTTCAGACTTGATTTTTTTAAAGTAAAAAGAAATTTCATTTTCATTTCCTGACTTGCTTTTCTTTGAACTCCTGCAAAAGTACTGGACTTAAGAGTCAAAGCAAATGAAATTTATGTCAACGGTGTACTACAATTTAGCATTATGTTCCTCTGTCATTGTTTTCTTCAACTTTTTAAAGTTCTTCCCATTTTTTTCTCTTGAGCTATGAATGACAGATTTTCCACCTCTCATTATAATCAATGAATTGTCAAACAAAATTCTTATGAATGTAAAAGGGATGGGCAATGACTGGGGTTTGTCGGTGTTTTGATGATTTGCCATTGTTTTCAAAAAAAATTACCCGAGGTTTGCCAATTTCTTGATGCTTTACGTTTAGCTGTGTGAATATTACTTTGTTGCCGAATGCTGTCAAATGAATATATAGTTTTGAATCTGCCCAGGTTGACAGTGAATAATACTTGGTGCTGAATGATATCCTATAAGAGTAATGAAAATACATGGACCCATGTTCTAATAATACTTGGAGCTGCAATCACAATTAATTGGTATGTTTCCTGAATTCATTTTAGGACCATGCCTCCACTGTCTTTTATGACACCCCCGCCACTCTTGGTCAGCTCAATGTTTCATTTCGCTTCAAACAATTCTCAATTATTTTGGGGTTTTTTATTAATTTGTTTGGTTTGAGTTGCAGTTTAATTTATGTTGAATTGGATTGGCTATTTGGTACCTTTTTTGGGTGCTTTTTTTTTGCTTTGATAATGGTAGTTTTGGTTTCTGAGTTTTCATAAATGATGCTCCTTATGTCAATTGATGAATGAAACATTACTCAGTGGGACTTTGTGTAGAATGATGGTCGGAACTACCCATTTTGGTCACACCGTATTTGCATTTTGTTTGTTATATGATGACTGATGGGGATTGCTTTTGAGTCAAATATTAGAATCTGTTGGGGTTTGGATGAAATTATGTTCATCTTCCAGGTAACATATCTTAAAATATGCTTATCTAAAGCAGTCTATAAATTCTAGATTCTTGCATTTCCCCTCTGATACCCATGCAAAGGTTCCTCACAAAAATGAATTCATTTTATTTTTCTCATGTACTATGTTACTTGAACTTATTTCAAGAAGTTTTAGCAACGTAATTAGCAAAATATTAACATTTTTTGTGCTCCCAGCCAAGAGGGGTAAGGCTTGCAACAAAGAAGTGTGCAGAGGTATGCAACATGGTTCTTTTTTTCTTCTACATTGTGAAATCCCCGAGCCTGCTTCACCAAAGAAAAAGGGGTGTTTACCTCTTTGGCTGAACATAGTTTACCCTCAATTAGGGTATTTGTTTATATAGCCTTTGGTTGTTATACTCTTGCGTTGTAGAATGTGCAACCATTGGGCTAGAAATGAAGCACAATGCTAATGAAAAAGCTTTAAAGTCAGAATATTTCCCATTTTTTTAAAATTTACACTAATTCTTTTCAAATATTATTTTTTGAAAAAAACTATTTAGTCTATGAGAAATCATATATGAAACTAGGTTATCAATGGTAATCATTTATATGCTAGCAAATTAAAAAAATTTACACAATAACTTACGTGCAAAATATTAATCTAGGGATTTTAATGCTTGCTATTATATATATATGTTACATTAGAAGCACTACAAGAACACCTTGACAACATCTGGATCAGACGAGAGGATCTTCAGCCTGTATGTCCTTTTTTTTATTTAATTTTCCCTTCGCTTTTCGGTTTATATTCTGCTCAATTTTCAAGGCTTCTGGATAGGTTGTATAAATTCATCATTGATGCCTAGACAAATCTGATTGAGTATGCATGTTTGTTCCTGGCTTCAATAATGGCAGGTCTTCTCATTCAAACTTCGAGGAGCATATAACATGATGGCCAGACTCCCAAAGGAGCTTCTGGACAAAGGAGTCATATGTTCATCTGCTGGCAATCACGCTCAAGGAGTTGCGTTAGCTACAAAGAAACTTGGTTGCACCGCTGTAATCATGATGCCCGTTACTACACCTGAGATCAAGGTTCAGTGTTATTGAATTTTCTCTTCTTATTTGGTTAGTTATTCTCTAACCAAACAATCTTTTTTTTTGAAATGTGTGAGCAGTGGAAATCAGTAGAAAGACTAGGGGCAACAGTTGTCCGGGGACACATGATGAAGCACAAGCATATGCCAAAAAGAGGGCCCACGACGAATGACTTACGTTTGTCCCTCCATTTGATCACCCTCATATAATCATGGGACAGGGCACAGTTAGAAAGGAAATCATGAGCCAAGCAAAATGTGGCGTAGATGCCATATTTGTGCCGGTTGGTGGGGGTGGGCTCATTGCAGGCATTGCTACCTATGTTAAGATGGTGATTCCGGACGTGAAGATAATAGGAGTTGAGCCAAACAAAGTGAATGCCATGGCTTTGTCTCTGCATCATGGTCTGCTGGATCAAGTCGGGGTTTTGCAGATGGCGTGGCTGTTAAAGTGGTCGGGAAGAAACATTTTGTCTATACAGGCATCTAATAGATGGGGTTCTCTTTGTTACCCAGGACGCCATTTGTGCCTCAATAAAGGTCCGCAAACCCCCTTATCTTTTGGATTCTGTATTCCATTAGGCCCATATATACCTTATTATCACAAGGAAACTACAGATCATTCTCTGCATTTTTGCATTTTAACTGGTGTGATACCCAAAACTCATGCATTGCTATTTTTTATAAGCATGAAGTGCATTAAATAATACTCCAGTTGGATCTCACGAGAGTAGGGTCGGGAAAGTGCATAAAGTAATTAGACAAAGAATTGATTTTGAGAGGTTTATTTGACTACTTTTGTTTATTTTTTTCATTATAGGACATTTTTGAGGAGAAAAGAAGCATTCTAGAGCTAGCAGGTGCACTTGCTCTAGCAGGTGCAGAAGCCTACTACAAACATTACAACCAAAAGGATCAAAACATCGTTGTTATTTCCAGCGAGGCCAACATCAACTTTAATAGACTAGGACAAGTTGGATATTAGTGGTAGACAATGTGAGGGAACTTGGTAGTTTTAAGACGTCATTTTTGAAGAACTTGGAAGTTTCAAATCTTTTATCTTTTACTATAATCCTTTAATATAAAATTTGAGAGTTTGGACTCTAAGAAGTTGACATTTGGCAATACAAAAATTTGACATGTGACAATATAATTGATATGCTATGTGGCGTAATAAGGTGAGCTGAATTTAGATAATTCCTTCTAAATTTACTTCATCTTTGATTGATACGGAGTATGTTTTTATGGCATTTAGGAAAATTAAATCTTTTTTCCTTTTTAAATCAAAGTATTTTTAAAAGGGAAAAATTCTGTCCTGCCATTTCCTTAAATCCAAAGCTATTACAAGGTATTTTGGATAAAAATAGGTAATTACCAATTTAAGTTGCAAAGTATTACTTTTCTTGCTTTATTTTAGTCAGTATAGCTTAAAATATAGTTCGGAGTAAGTCCAAAAAATTTTGGATTTTGAAATAGCTATAAGAATGTCAATGAAATAATTGAAAATATACAAATAATGAGTCAATCGTTTATTTATAAATGAAAAAGGATAAATAAGGAGTCAATCATAGAATAAAAAATATTTTTCAAAAAGAAAATAGAGTAGAAAATAGATAATGTGTAAATTTTTTTAGACAAATAAAAAAGAGGTGACATAATATGTATCAAATCTCTATTATAGAGCTTTGTATTTTAAGGTTTACTGAAGGGGAACGAGATGAGTAGTTTTTTACTTTGTTCGTAGAATTAGAAGACTCAAACAATTACAAAGAAAATAGACATTCATTTATAGGAAATATAATCATTTTTTCTAAAAAATGATTTCTTACTACTTTTGTAACCAAAGAAAATTAGATTTAGCTTCTTTTAAAACTATTTTTCTCACAACAAAAAACTCTAAAAGTCAGAATCCAAAAAAATTGTCTTTAATAAAATTTTTTAGAATATAACAAAATTTCGTTCCACCCGTGCATGGCACGGGTTAAAACACTAGTATATATATATAAAGTAGGGTCAGATGTAACTGATTGACTTTTCTTCTTCAACTTGGGGATCGCAGAATCAATCGGACACCCTTCTCCGTTACAATAGCTACCTGAATCGGCAATTGGATGCAATTCTTGACACTAGCAAGAGGGGGCAACTACCTCTGCTGCCCGTCTCTAGCAGAATAAGATGTTCTGATTCGAAATCTCCTTTTCCGTTTAGAGAGCACGACGATGCTATCCTATTGGCCATAGGCATTTCGTCGCCTCCACCTCTTCAGATTGACCCACATGGAAGTTGCTGCTGGAACTCAATCCAAGTTTCCGCCAGAAATTCATCAAATACTATAGTGGACTGTGAATTAACTGTGGTCGACGGACATCGGTGGTGTAGTAAATTCCCTCGCCCAATTGTTCAATTACTCCATATTATATTTAATCTACTTGAATTCAATTACGGAGTATTTGATTTAATCTACTTGGAACTGTGCTGCTCCAACTACTGAGACGATAACCTGTGATGGAGCATTATTTAATTTAATCTACTTGAGAATTATATTTTATCCAATTATTCTTCTTATATTCTTGTGACTCTGATGGAGCATCCCAGTGGAGAAGGTGACCTTTGCTCAACCACAACTGCCGCAAGTCACCCTCTATCTGTTGCCAAAATGGTAAAATTCTAATCTTGCACTCCATGTTGATTCTTTGAATTATTTTTTAGCCATTAATTAGAGGTTGAATTCACAACATCCTATGATTATTTTTCAGTTATTTGATGTCCATGTCCGTTGATTACGTTTTTTGTTTTCTTTGGAATTGATTAACACCAACACTTTTAAATGTACCTATTTGTTTTGATTGTTTTACACAATTAATAGTTATATATTTGTGATATGCGAATTCGTGATTTGTAGATTTGTTTGATTAATTATTTATCAGCCCTAAGATTGTTTTTCGTTTTTCTCCTATTTATAAAAGAAATTTGTCTCTGAGTTCATAGCCCTGAGAAAAAATCAAAGTTGAATCCAAATGCTAAGGTAAGTAGGCATGTATCTACATTAAATTTTAAAAAGATTGGTGCACTTTTGCAATTACAAATTCTTGAGGTTTCTCTCACGTATACATCTATTAACTGATTGATAAATTACCCAAGATTGGAAATTGGAGCAGCGGAAGAGGACAAATTGTCTCTCAGGTATATGCATCTATCAATTGTTCGATGAATTTCCTGATAAACCAAATGGAGCAGTGAAAGGGGACAACACTAGGGAGTTCTGTACCCAAACATGATACTCAAGTATGACATTGAGTTCTCAGCTTCATTGAGGATCAAAGGTCACAATGTACTACCCTAAAAAAGGTCACAATGTACTCTGTGAGATTTTCAACATCTTCTTTCTCCTGTTTTTTCTCAATTAATCTGTCAAATCATTTTAGAATGGTGTTTCTTTAAAAAATGAAGAGAAAAATCTTTGTACCCAAACATGACACTAAAGTATGACATTCATTTCTCAGCTTCATGGAGGATCAAAGATCACTATATACTCTGTGAGCTTTTCAGTATCTTTTTTGCCCTATTCTTGATCAATTTATCTGTAAATTCATTTGGGAATGGCATTCTTTGAAAAATGAGTTCGAAAACCACATCCGGGTTACACTTCGAACATAATCTCACCACAAGTTCAACCTTAACGTCTTCTTGGATACAATTTGGAACTAAAATATGCACAAATTATCCAAAATAGTGCAATCAAGAGTGTAAGTTTTTCATTTTTCCCTAGCATGACTCAATGAATTTAGCTTCCGTGTCCTGCCACGCGGGTATTAATTTTCCTTGTTGTCCACCCTCTATTCATTTCCGCTTTTCCGACTTTCCAGTCTTTCAGCACAACGTCCTTGGCCGTGCAGAACTGTTAAGCAATTAAGTATGGTACTTATTACGGGCCATTTTCCAGTTTTTACCACCTTCCCAGGTCATCCGCCTATCTTCTTTTTCCGTTTGGATTTTATTTTGGGCGTGGGGTGTATATGCCAATTACGAAGAGTTTGACGGATGTAGAAACCTAATCGAAGCAGTGGATCTGAATCTGCTAATTGGGCGTAGAAATAAAAGTTTTGCCCCTGGTCTATTTTTATTACTCCGTGAGTTCATTCATAATCTACATCAGCAAAGCGAAGGTAAGTTTAAAAATCTTCAATTAAATTTATGCACAACCTAGATATTGTTGTAATGAATGTCTCATGATCCGATGCATTGATGCATTATTATGCCTATATATGGGATTACATTCTGATTTGGCATTAATGGAATACTCTTTTTTTATCATGTAGTATTTAAATTTTTAAATTGAATTAGTTTTAGCATCTAGACCATTTGAGTGGTACTCAATAGCTGTTTGATGTATCGCATCACTGAGATGGAGGGTGCACAATTGCAGCCATGACTCCGTGAAGAGGTAACTACAAATCTGGGTTTTTTATATTTTTTATACTCTCATTTTGGATTTAAATTTGCTTATAAACAGTCTGTAAAAATGAATTGCAGAATGCCTGCAAACAAGGGAGATTTACAAGCAGAAAGAACTCCTTTGGGAAATGCTAATGAAGAAATTCACCTAATGGAAAACAAGGTTCAATTCTCTATTTTCTCTCATAGGATTTGTTTTGGTTTGATTCATGTTATACTAGAAAGGGTGTTATACGTAGTTCAAAACTATGAGCCCCACAGAAAATCACCATGTTCCAAGAATATAGACAGGAAGGATCTGGGAACTTAGAGGTTGTATATTATCTTCGTGTCTTTGTCATTGTCAATCTTAATGGTTATATATTCCCTTCCTCAACTTCTATTCATCCCGACCACATGTTTGTTTTTATTCCCCTTTTTAAAGTTGGAACGAGACATTTGTAGGTTTTGAATTAATTTTGAAAGTCCTTTAATTAACTAATACAGAGAACATTTTTAACCTTTTTTTTGGTTCTATCATCCTTCATCTCCCCCTAGAAGAAAAAGAATAGACCCTAAATTGTGCTGGATAAGATGCAAGATTGACGATCTATTTTTCAAATCCTATTTAGCTTTGAGCCTACATTTTAAATTTTTATTTTGAATATGTATTACTATAATAACTATATCTTATGTTTCAAGTTGTTAGATGAGTCCTCTCATTTTTAATGTCACTGACCTACTCACTGCAACTTCTAGAAGGTTATCACTTTTGAGCATGATGCTCTTTATGCAATATAATTTAAACCCACTGAATAATTGTTTTGTTGCCCATGTTTGGAGATACTGTTTTTGTTAGTCTTATAAAGTCTTGGCTTGCTTTATGCAGTGCTACCTAAAGAACTCCAGATAGTACATTGTGCGGAGGTTCCTCACAGCAAAAAAAAAATCTGATTCTTTAAGAGACAAGTCAATATAAATTCTCTGCTCTTTTCAAAGACGAACGATGAAGCTATCGTATCAACCATTGGAATCTTGCCGCATCCACCTCTTGGTAATGCCACAAGCTCTATTTTTACCCCATTAATTCATAAACCTATATATAAGCTTTTTTCATTTTCATTTTCACTTAGTATTGTTGTTTTAAAAAATATGCATATTGTAAATAATTGATTTTAATATGTTATCATTTAACTTTTGCTTGCATTATTGGAGATTTACAAATTTTGAAGTTCTTTTCATGAATTTATTATAGTTAAAAGTAGAACATTTAAAGTGTTTGAGAAAATGCCTAAATGAGTATTTTCCCTTTTATTGAATTTTTAGATTTTTATTAAGACCTTATAAACACCACATTATTCAAGTATTGATTTTCTTATAAGAGTTTTATAAAATTATATGTCCCGTTTGTGGATAATCTTATTTTGAGTCAAACATTAAATTTTTAAATAATGAGTTAAGAATATTCTCACCTTTTATTCGTACTTTTAATTTTTCATAGCTTAGAGTAGAAAAGTGACTGTTCATCACTTAAAGTAAAATATACAACTACTAATAATATTTTATTCGAATATAAAGGCCTAGAAAATTGATTCATCGTCACTTATTATTACAGTTGTTGTTATTACTATTATTATTATTATTATTATCCAAATCTGTGATAGGATTATGTGCCCCTTGATATCACTAAGTGACTATTTTTAAGAAGTGTATATATATATATATATATATATATATATATATATATAGACTTGACGTTTATTGTATTGATATTCTTATAAGATTTTATTATTTGTAAAAGAGTTCACATATGGTGTTATTTCCCCTACGAATCACACACAGAGCACTGCACTCTAAAGATCTTTGAAGGGAATGGTCAAATTGTTAAATTGGTGTTCTATGATTTACATTTGTAGTGGTGATATGAAGTTTGAAACATACAAACTAATTGGCCTAAAAATTATAATGGTGATGACATCCACACATTAGAGTTGGAAGGCAGCAAATGTGGGGAATGAGGCAGATCTAAATGATGCACACGATGAAATAGAGAAGGTAAGTGCTTTAGTTGTCGCCTCTTTTAATGGCCATAAGCCGCCAGTGAGAATGCCATTTTTATAACTTCAGGTCTGTTAACTTCAAGTTTGCCATTTTGTTGGGTGCTCATCTCACACTACTTATTGTTTTTGCTCACTATAGATGGTTCAGGTTAGCATTAATAGTTTTATATTTACCCCAAAAGGTGAGCACTTTCGAAGGAGTATACTTGATCGGGTATAATACGATTCAATTTGTACCAGTTGTTTATGCCTCTGGTGAAGAGGTTAGTATTTATATTGCTTGGTTGTATAACAATTTCCCGACTGATTGCATTTCCACTTGGTTGTTCAGTCAACAAGAAGTAACATAATGGTTCTTTGAAGCTATATTTTCATGTTTGTATCCCCTCCATAAAGATGCACCCTTCCTTTGTAATCCAAGTTTTTATACATGATCACTTCATGCTGTCATCTTCCCCGTGTAATTTGTGTTACAGATACCACAAAATGTATTTAAGCAACTACTAATAGATGGTTAATTACTAATTAACCATAGATGGCCAATTGGTAATTTTCTGTTCTGAAATGACTGAAGGTGCTAAATGTGCTTAAATGCTTGCTGAAGGTTAGTTAAAGTTTCTAACCTTGCCGAGTCATAAATCAAAATGTATAATATATTTACTTACTAAGCATAAGAAAATAATGCCCCCAATGTGAATAATTTAAAGTTGCCATCTTCATTCATATGTATTATTTCAAACGTTACCTCTTTCTTGAGGGATTGAGAGGCAATAGTACTCCCACAAGTGGGAGTTAGGGAGGGTAGGATGTCTCCACACCTTACCTCTATATCCTTGAGCGATTAGAATTTTTTGAAGTATTTACCATCAATTCCATATGAGAAGTGATTGAAAGAGGAGGATTCAGTTGTACAGTGGCTGAAGAGATTGAGGGATTTGCCAATGAATGTGAGAACTTTGATCCATTATATAATTTCCCAATTTTTGAATATTTAATACAAGTCCAAAAAAACCTAAGCTACCAAAGAGGAAGAAAACAATAAAGATTTAATGCCAGATAAGAGTGACTAAAACTAAATTTACCAAAGAGGAGGAAAACAATAAAGCTTTAAAGGCAGATTAGAGTGAAGACAAAAAGATACTCTATTGGTTGTGCTCTATTTTATTCAATAAAATCCGTTTTCTACACAAAAAGCATTGCCAATTACAATAAGATTTTAGGCATTTCTACTGGTTAATTAAATTTATAAATCACATAGATGTACACATTAATTTATAGCACTTATTGGAGACTTTTTAATTACCTAGATATATGACATTTTGATCACTTGATATTAGAGACTTAATTACCTCTTTTCAGGTAAGCATGAGGTCCTATGTTGTTGTTCATCTTTTTTTTTAATTAATAAAATTAGATACTTAAAACATGCATATTGTTAACTATTACTTATACAAGATCTGTATTATAAATATGAACCGTTGTGTGTGTGTATATATATATATATATATATATATATATATATCGGGCTTTAGATTGGGCTTTCATTGGGCTTCTTATAGTGGGCTATCTGCCTCGGGTGTTTAACGGGCCCCGGGGCGGTCACGAGGTTAACGGACCTCGGGCCCCCTGCTTGTAACCGACCGTTCCAATAATATTAATAAAAAAAAAATTTTAATATATATATATATATATACATACATATATATATATATATATATATATATATATATATATACATAATACTTAATTAGACCATCATCAAGAGGATGCAGAAGACTTATTAATTTGAAGTTAACGAGATTTTGAACATTTCTGCTTTAGATAAAGGCTTCTAAGCCAAGAAGCTTAATTTCTCCATTGCAGCATAATTTGTTCCTAATCAATTCGCTGCTTTGGCTTTACTAGGAGAACACGAAGAATAAAAATTAGGAGAAGAATCAGACTCATTACAATATTTACACAAAGTCTGGTTCATCGCTTGAATACATTGGAAGAAAAGGATCCTCCAAATAATGACCATATTTTCTACAATGATTCATGTTCGTGACTACACTTTCAATGACTCTCCTATCGAAGCATTATTGGAAATGGACTACCAGAGGAGTTGGAAATGATCTTTGATGCTGTCTAAACTCTATAAGAGGACATACTCCTCCTCACAAATGATGACATAGACCAAGACCGAAGCTCTAGCGGATAGCACGTTGACCTGGAGTGAAGATGATTTTTCAGAGGATCTTTTTGTGGATATTCAAAAGCTCATGTCCAAAAAAAATAAGGCAAGCAACTAGAGATATTACACTTCAAGCTCTAAAAGATAAGAAAAAAGGAAAGCCATAAAGAAAGCTCTAAAAGGTAATATGAGAGGTGGTCCTCTTGGTTTTTCCTCCCAACTTTTACTTAGCTGTATGAAGTTAGTTATTCTTTTTAATGTTTTTGTTACATTTGGATTAAAACAATATTTCTTTGAGTTACCTCTTAATAGATTATTACAGAGTAGTATATTGCTTCGAGTTACCTTCTGATTATAGTACTTGATTATAGTACTGCTCTGCCATGATGATATTACATTGAGCTTAAATTACCATTTCCTGTGTGGATTTTTTTAATGCTGGTATGTGGCTACACATTAGGGCTAATGGCAATACCTTAGCCAATGCTGCCTTGGGATTATTTTATTGCTGGATTTGTGGCTACACATTACTGGTTAGCCAATTCCGTCTTGCTTACTTACCTATTCCTGTAGCAACTTATTGGCTACTATACGTACTATTTTGGGTAGAGTTTTAGATTGCAACTTAGTCCACATTAGAAATTGCTTATGATGACAGTTTTGGCAATGGCTTGAAAGGATAACATTTGCAAGATGGTACAGATTTTCCCTCTTATTCTTTATTGAAGGAGATGAAGAGTTTATTTGGTGCTCATATTTTCCCTCTTATTCTTTATCTGGTGGCATTACCTGAGACTTTTGATGCGAGAAAACTTGACTTCATTTTTAAGATTTCGTGTTCAGCAGGTTGGTTAGCCTGCAATGCTACGACTGGTTTGGGATGTTGACATTGTTATACTTTTCTTAAGATTTTTCATCTTTTTTTTCTCCTTTGAAGGGATTTGTTGAGGATCTCCCTCCTTTTGTACTATGTACTATTTTTTCTTTCTATCAAAACTTTCCTTTGTGATACACACTTTAAGATATAGTGAAAAATGTATAGTTAAAATTTATGAATTATATGTTCATTTTTATTTCAATTTATTTTTTTTGAATTTATAGATATATTTTACGTGAGATTAAACGAGCCCGTGCGAAGCACGGGGTAAAAAACTAGTATTGTAATAACTCCCGGTACTTTCTTGCATATTAAATAACAATTGTACTACAGGTGCTTCCACCTACAGTCTTACCAGTCACTTTTGCTTTCCACATTCCTTTATTTTCTAAGCTCAGCAAACTATTCTAGATCTGTTCTGATCTAGTATAGTTTGCATGGTGGTTAATTTACACCATCATTTTTGGCACCAACCATAGTGATGGCGTTTGGTCTGAAATACTTGGGGGCAACATACCAACACATGGTGAACAAGTTCTTCAAACCACTGTTCGAAAAAACCATAGAAGCCTACGTAAACGACATGTTGATCAAGAGCTGGATATCGGGGAATCACGCGGCTGATATGAGGAAGTCGTTCAAGATCATGACAAGGTACAACCTCCGATTGAACCCCCAAGATATGTGTTTTTCGCGGTTCGAACTGGAAAGTTTTTTGGGTTCATGGTCACGAAGAGGGGGATAGAGCCCAGCCCTGAAAAGATCAGGGACATTTCCAAAATGCAAGCCCTAACTTCGGTCAATGACGTGCAGAAATTTACCGGGCGCCTCGCAGCCCTCAGCCAATTCCTCTCCCGGTCAGCGGAGAGATCCATGTCATTCTTTAAAGTCTTGAAGAAGGCCAATGCCTTTGCAAGGGATGAGGAATGTCAGAAGGCATTTGAAGATTTGAAGGAGTACCTGGTGTCATATATTGTATTTCCAAATCTTGAAACGAGTGAAACTTTGTATCTGTACCTATGGATTTCCCTGCAAGCTGTAAACTCTGGTTTAATAAGAGATGAGAGGGCACAAAAACCCATTTATTACGTGAGCAAAGCACTAAATGGAGATGAAAGTAGATACATGACGATGAAAAAAATAGCACATGCACTCTTCATTGCCGCCAAGAAGTCAACGACGTATTTTCAAGCTCATACCGTTGAAGTCCTTACCGACCAACCTCTTGGTGCAGTATTATGAAATTTAACATCTTCTAGGAGAATGGTGAAATGGACGATGATGCTGACTCAATTTAACATAGAATACTGACCAAGATCAGCATCAAGGGCCAAGCCATAAGGGGCGTTCGTGCTCATTTCTTATTTTTCGTTTATTATTTGTGTTTTTCCTTTCTTTTTTTAGAATATTTTCCATCTCTTTTTCCTTTTCATAGAATTTTTTTTAAATTTATTTTCAATTTTTATAATGTTTTAAAATTTTTTAAATTCTTTGTGTTTGAAATAAAAATAAAAAAAATTAACTTACATTACATTTATCTCAGATTAAACATTTTTACTTTTTGTTACTTAGAATATTTTTTTAGAAAATTAAAAAAAACTCATATTAAAAAAATAAAAATATGGAAAAACAAAATGAAAAAATTAAAATTCACAAAAAAGTCTTATACAAAAAAATTGGACATGCCAAAAAAAGTCCTCTGAATTGAGATGTCCAAAAAGGATATTTATTTTTATTTTTGTATTATTTTGGTTCTTATTTTATTCCTCATTTTGTTTGAAATTCTCAAAAAAAATTACTTTGTTTTTTCAAAAAAAACAAAAATTATTAATTTTTGACGTACATATGCGTTATATGTTAATTTTTTCAAACAAAAAGTAACTTCAAATTTTAAGAACATTATAAAAATAATTTTAAAAAACCTTTATTAATAAATGAAACAAATAAAAGAAAAATGAAAAAAAACAAAAAATAAGCAAGAAATAAAAAGCAACACTAATACCTCATATGGTTCAGAAATAATGCATCAATGTATTTCTTCTTCACCAGAGAAATGGTCAGAATATATTCAGAGTATGCACGGGTATAACATTTTAAAATTACATAACTTTAAAAAAAATCTTGAAAATAGAGGCTATTAGCTCATACTCCCTCCGTCCCCCAGTATTTGTCCACTTTCATTTTTACATATCATCCAATGCACTTCTTTAATTCATTTTATCTTGTAATTTGTATATTAAAAAATTATAAAAACTACTCTGTTGATGGATATAATCCATTAGTACCACCCGGCAAGTTCACAGGCGCCCGGGGGTACCAAATTCTAGCCCCGCCTGACTTCACCAACCCTGGTAGACTGACCGGGTGGATGTCGGGGGTCAGACATGTGAGATCGTGACTTCATTCGCATAAGGTTTAAAGTCTGACCAGGCTTGATCTTACCGTCCCCGTTAATCAGCCCGGGTGGATGACTTGAAGACTGCCCGGGTGGATGACTTGAAGACAGCCCGGGTGAATGGCTTGAAGACTGCCCTGTGTGGATGATTTGAAGACTGCCCAAGTGGATGACTTGAAGACAGCCCGGGTGGATGGCTTGAAGACTGTCCTGGGTGGATGACTTGAAGACTGCCCGGCCGGATGGCTTGAAGACTGCCCGAGTGGATTACTTGAAGACTGACCGGCCGGAAGAATAGTAACGTCGGGACATGCTTGACGTGCTTGTTCTTTATTATAAATACCCCTAAAAGCCTCATTTGTGAGGCATGCTTTAATTAATCTGTACAGCTTGTACTTTGTAATAGTCCTATCATTATTAATAACAAACCGAGTTACAGGTGTTTCCACCTACAGCCCTTCTGATCACTTATACTTAGTATTTGCACGGTAATTTACACCATCAAATTGGCACCGACCGTGGGACCTCTTTACAAAAAGAAGCCATGACGAACAACAATATGGAATCCATCATCTCCCATATTTCCACCCCGGTGGAAGGCATTACCCTGATCCCGGGAGGAATCACATCACTACCTTCTCTTTTCTCCCCCATGATTACCACATTTACTACTCAAACAACGCCCAATCAAACCTTCCAAAACTTTGGACAATTTATGCCCATGTTCCAACAACCTGGGGGATTTATTCTTTTCATTCTAGGGATGTATCCCCATGCTCTAGCTCAAAATATATCTCTTCCTAACACGTTGGGGCATCCCCGTCGTCTCAACTGGCCAGTACCTCCCGGTTGGTCATCCCGACAAAACCACCGGGGAGCTAGAAAGGGCAGGCCCTTCTCGGTCTAGGAGGAGTAGATCCCACAAGCTCCACACTCAGGTCATTCCTGACGGGGGCGTGCGCTCTGTGCACAACAGGGATGAAGACTGGGATATTCCCAGGGGCCAGAAAAAGCTACAGGGCAAAGCCGTCCAGACGGAAGGTTCACGACGGTCAGCGTTCCAAAGGCTGTGACATGAGGGGCGGAACCAGAACCGACTGGCCAAGGAGCGGTTGGGGGTCAAGGTTCCCAAGCCAGGCAAATTCTACATGCTAGAAGGTGGTAGCCGGTAGGCAACCCGGTCAGATCGGGCGCTTTGACCCTCGCCTCCGTGATGAGCCCCAACACAGCAGGGTGCCTAGAGAAGAGGACCACGCGGAAAGCCAGCCCAAAATGGCATTGCGCACACATGCTGAACCACCTAGCAACCAGGTGGACAGAGCGAAAGAACGTTTAGGGAGGCTCTTGAATAGAGTTCGTAGGGAGGAAAAGAAGAAGGTGGTGTTGAACAACCGTTTTATCATCCGTTAAGCCCGAATATGTACCGTGCCAATGTTCAATAAAGTTGATACTTTTTCAGAAAAAGATGGTAAGACCGGTCGGGAAAGGTTGCAGACCCATCTGCCCGGTCAGTGTTCAATCGAATTGAGCATCACAAAACCACCCGGGCAGAACACCATACTTTTTCAGAAAAGATGGTAAGACCGGTCGGGGAAGGTTGCAGACCCATCTGCCTGGTCAGTGTTCAATCGAATTGAGCATCACAAAACCACCCGGGTGGAACACCATACTTTAATCGAATTGAACTAAAAAAAAGAAGAAAAAAATATGTGACACATGCCCGGCCTGGTATGCTGGTCTCACACTAGTATTGCACATATTAAAAAAACTGTGACCCAGTCGAACTGGTACACTGGTCTTACAACGGTCTAATGCAGTATAAATAAAAAAAATGAAGAAAATATGTGACCTAGTCGAACTGGTACACTGGTCTCACACCAGTATTGCACATATTTTCCAACAAGCTTGAGCCCAATCGAATTGGGTACACCGGTTGCACATCGGTTTCAGCAAAAAAAGAGAGAGAGCCCGGTTGGACCGGGAACATCGGGCCTACCCCGATCTTCGATATCTATCCCTGGACACTTTTCACCTAGGCAAAGTCAGGGTGAACCAACCTACCCAAACAAATAAAAAACCCAAAACTGCCCACCCGATCAAGATTCAGACTCGAGTGAGTGATGGGGTCACGATGGATTCGCTTAACTTGCCTCGGAGGACTTTTTCAAGAATATGTTCCCCCGTTTGCATGGCCGAGGCCATGAAGGGGAAGAGTTGATTGCCTTGCTCACTCGGAGGACTAGAGCTCTTGTTCACTCGGGTGAAAGAAGAAATGACTCACATGATCAACTTTGAATCATAGCCCGGGCATGCTCTGTCAAAACCCACATGGGTGGCTTATTTTCTACTTAGATAGAAAGAATGGTGAGATGCGTTAGAACGGGTAGATACGGCTCAGCCGTGAACAAAAAGTTTGAGAGTTTGAACGGCCAGGTAAAAATCCTGCACCCAGTTGCTCAAAATCCCATACAGCCCACGGTACTTTTGGTACTGACTGGTCCCAAACCTAAAGATCCCAATGTCATCAATCAGTTGTTGGGATACTTGGAAGAACCAATGCCGACCTCCCTGTCAGAAAGTGCTTGGGCAGCGAACTTCTTCGGTTCCTGTGCAGCCCAAGCAGCCGCGTGAACAGCCCGGTCGGAGCACTCCCTCTTCAGCTCAGCCTTTAGCTGGGCATTCTCCACCTCCAGCTCGCCCGTCTGCCCGGCCTTCTCCGCCAACTCGGCGAACTTCCGCTTAGCCCGCTCATCTGATTCCTTGGCGGACTTGAGCAAGCCCTCGTGCTTGGCAAGGGGGCCCCGATAGGCTTCAGCCTGTTTGACCAGCTTCTCCTTCATTTTCTCGGGCGCCAACGGGACTGCCTTTGCATCCTTCCGGGCGGCGACCATCATGACCTCCATCCAGAGCTTCTCATTTGTCAAGCACTTAACCAGCCGGGTGGCCCACTCCTGCCCGATCCTGGGAAGAGGAAACGACACGATGACTAGGCGGTGGCGTACTAAATTTCCGTAAAAACATTCCCGCTAACCATACCCAAGGATTCAAAAATTCAAAATAATTTAGACATTTGATTCCCGCCCTTGATGGTTCCCACAAAGCCGAGAATAGGAGGAACTCCTTGATGGATATAATCCACTAGTACCACCCGGCAAGTTCACAGGCGCCCGGGGGTACCAAATTCTAGCCCCGCCTGACGTCACCAATCCCGGTAGACTGATTGGGTAGATGTCGGGGGTCAGACATGTGAGATCGTGACTTCATTCGCATAAGGTTTAAAGTCTGATCAGGCTTGATCTCACCGTCCCCGTTAATAAGGCAGGGTGGATGACTTGAAGACTGCCCGGGTGGGTGACTTGCACGGTAATTTACACCATCATCCGTATATATTAATAATCTATATGTTAAGACAAATCAAAAAAGATCACACATGATTATATTTAGGCTTACAAATTGAGAGATTTTGATGAGTCAAAGTGTTTATATGAACAATTACAAAAATCAAAAGTGAACAAAAACTAGGGAGGTATAAGGAGTATTTTACAAACCAGCGGTACTCAAGGCCTGGCGCTATTTGCCGTTAGAATTGACGCAAGTAAAGAAAAAAAGGGAAAGGAGGGACCGGGCGAGTCACGAGAAGAGTAAAAAAGATGCGCCAAGTAAGTGTTTGTCGTGATTTGGGGGCTTTTCTGGCATTGTAACGCTCACCCCCACCTCTCCCGTCTATATATACACGGAGTATATCAATGTATTCTATATATATATATATATATATATATATACACGAACGTTAACATCTACGCTGCTAGATTCAGGTGTACACGCCGCCGCCGCCGCCGCAGAGACACTGCAATGCGGTGGAGCACTTGAGGATCCTATGCTTCTTCATCTCCGAATCTCTTCATCAATGGCGGCGGAATCGCGCGCAGTGGTGAGTTTTTTGTGTTTATCTGATTCAATCGCTCTTTTTTTCCTTCTTCCGCAGCACGCGATTCCTTGTTCTGAAATGATTTCATCTTTTACTTTAGGGATTCCGTTCCGTGTATCTTCGGCTACCTTTGCTTTAATCTCGTCTTTCTTCTTCTACCCGAAATCAGCGCAGTCATAGATTCTGTTTTTCATTTTATTGCGTGTCTGTGTATTTCTGGATAATTTCATTTCTTTTCTTTGTTTGGTATGTGTTCTGGTAGAAGAAGCAAAACGAGAAATGGTCAATTTAGCAAAGTTTAAATGCTAGGTTTACAAAGTAAATGATTACCAAATTTACAAAGTAAATTACGGAGTAAATTCTTAATTTAAAATTATTCCAAACTACTTTATTTTTTTATTAAAGTTCACAAATAGTAATTTTTTTGTGAAAGTTCACAATAGATATCAATTATTTTTTTATCAAGATTTGTGACTATTTTGTTTGTGAATCAGGCTATTTATGGACTGAAATTAATCAATAATTGAGTATTGGTAAGGAAAATGCTTGATTCACAAACAAAATGATTACAAACTTCACAAACTTACTATTTGTGAACTTCAATAAATAAAATTAAATAGTCTCAAATAATTTTAAAATGAAAATTTAAACCATAAATAGTAAGTTTGTGAAGTTTGTGAGTATCCTGTTTGTGAATGTTTTTGGGCTAAAGGGACGGAAGTAGTTAAATCTGCTAAGGACCTGTTTGGGAATAGAGTTAGAGTTAGAGTTAGCATTAGCTTTTTGAAAAAGCTATACACGGATAACTTTTAGCGTGAGCGTTTTCAAAGCAATCTGCACCGTTGAAATTTTACCTAAAACGCTAACGCTAATTTCTAACGCTATTCCCAAACAGGCCTTAAGAAACGGTTGAAATCGCAGAAATCTTTAGAATGTCTAAATTGGTACAATGGACCTTATGGACTGAATTATTTCGCATATTTATTCAAAATATTAAGTTTGAAGCGTCACTTTCAGTAAGTCTCTGAACCATTTCAGTTAAAAAGAATAACCCGTGCGCCATTTTATTTTCATTAATAGCCTTACTACTCAACGACCACTTTGAAATAAAATTAGATAATTAGCGTCCCGTGACAAATCTGGCATCTGAGTGGACATTAAAAGTTACTTAAATGTTAGTTGACTGCGGAGTAGTAAGATAGGATTAATAAATGCTTAAAAAGTCAATTGTTTTTACCAAATTTTTTGAGAATCAATGGTATGGGTAGAGAAATGTTCAGCGAAGGATTGATTTGACCAAAAAAAGACTGGGTAAAACTTTCTCAACATATAAACAATTAATTTACATATTTTTGTCACAATTTTTTTTCTTCAGATCCCCCGGATGATCTAATTTATAAGGCACTGTTTAATAGAAAACATCACAATATTTTTGTTTAGTTTATAAATGGTTCTTCTACAAAGGGGTAAAAAAGAATCAAATTTTCTTCTTTACAAATTGCAATTATTATGGGCTTATGGCGTATATTTTTACTTCATATTATTTATCCAGGTTTTTTATTACCCTCATTGTATATACCTATATTTTTTATACTTGTATCATTATAGTCTCTGTTGCTTTTCTTTTGTCTCTAAGCATGACTTAGTCTTTTGAGCAGCCTGGTTCCATGACTTCCATCAAGAACAGATATCATTGATCAGTCTCTATATATGCATTTTTTTTGCCAAGGTTTATACTCCGTACTATATGTCCCTAAAAAATTAAAAAATACAGAGTATTTGATAGCCCTCATTAAAGTACATGGAAAATTAAAGCTCCGGTTGGATGAATTTCTAAGTTGTATGTTATAGTTTTCTCCTCTATGTAGTTCATCACATGAACTGCAACTTGCTTTTAATATCTGTTCTCTGTAGTTCTCTTGAATGCTACTGCATTATCTCAACATTCTTGTGATCCTTCTTTTGATAATCAGGTTTTTAGTTTTTCATGTCCTGTTCATTTGTTTTTTAGAGCACGAATTGAAATCTCCCAGAAACTTGGTTTTATTTATTCTTATGAAGCCATTCCAGACATAAAACATTGTCAATGTGTATTTTGCATTAATTTATAGCGTAAGTTTATTTTATGCAATTAGTTAGCTCTATAAATTTAATGTCACCAACCGCATCAGACACTAATGTGTTGGATTAGACTAGTTATAGCCAATTTGATTCAATCATTTAGTGGTGTTTTGCTTGTGTTCATTATGGTCAAGCTCAATTATGATTCAACTCACTGGGTCTCGTAAGAATATTCTGCCCCAGATAAAGCCATTTCCCCTTTGGCAATTTCCCCTGTGTTGCTTGTGTATTTATGAGTTGAAGTAGTGTGGTTAAATAAGTAAGAAGCTGCTATATTTTTCATTACAGTATAGCCAAGAAGGCCCAATTGCTGTTGTAATATGTGATGGAAGGACCATAAGCCAACAATTTGATGCTCTTTCAGATTCAAATGTAGCAAAAACTCAAGCCGCCATTGATTCCCAATCAAACTGCCCAAGCCAGATCAAACAGAAGATGAACAGTACTGAAAATCATGCCATGTATATAGATGTAGATATTGAAAAGGGGAAGTTGGAGGCTTCTAAGGCTAGCTGCGGTGATGAGACTAGTGGGAACTTGAAGGTGGATGATTCTTCTTTAGCAGTAAGTGTTCTTGTTAGGGTTTACTTGACATGGCAGACCTTTCATTGAAGTCATGTCATAAACTAATAAAGTGTGTGTGTGTGTGTTACAGAGAGTAATGCAGAGAGAGATTACATCTCAGCTAGGAGGGAAGTTGATGCAGCTGTTTATGAATAGCAGCATTGAATTGCCCAAGTTAATTTCACGAGGTAAACTAATTTACGGTCTTTGTTCCATAGAGTTAACGAATCTTATCTATCAATTCAGAGGGAATCGAAAGATGAAAACTACAAGTTCAATATAAATGATTGAAACCATTCACCCATGAGTAGAAAATCTTGAATTTCCAATCTTTTTATTTGGTAATTATTTTCAGTAAATGCTCTATTAAATTCAACATGTAATCCTTGAAGGAGTTGCCATTGAACTTTAACATCAAAATTCATGCTTTTTAAGCCTTGGAATGATAGTTCTCATGACTGCCTGCTGCCAGTTCTAATGTGTGGGATTTTTTTGTTTGTTTTATGGTTATAGAGAAAAGCATGAATGAGAAATGCTATGATATGGCTACCAGCAGATTGAGGAAATACAAGCGCTCTGCCTCTTTCAATTCAAGAAAAGTGGTTCTCCTCTTCTCTATTCTGTACGTTTTCCTCAGACGAACCAACTTTTCGCTTCCATAATAACGTGACACTTTTAATGCTGTGCTTTCAACCAATCTAATCAGTTCCTTAGTTCGCTTGGTACTTACTTCTTGCCTTCTTGGGTTTTATTATGGCTAATAACTAAGCGCGTATCTTGACATTATTGTAGGTCTAGCACGGGGACACTCGTACTGATATATCTAACGTTGAGAGTCAGACAGATTGCTGAAGGTGGTACCATTTGATTGAACTTTCTCTTTGTTTTCTGCAGCTGCCTGTGGAGGCTTCGCTATGATTGTAATCGTTTTTTTTTTTACTCCTGTTTTCCAGCTGTGTGTTCTTTAGGGAAGGTTATGGGGGGCTTTTCTTTATTGTACATAATTCAAATATGAATTCACATCCAATGATATCAGTTTGAGATTTTGTGTTCCCCAGCTCTTGGAAGATGATTTACTGCTCTACATATATTTATAATGCCATTGGAATGGGATACCAGTCGCTCGTCTGTGGGTCCCACATTCGAATCTCATAAGGTTGGCCCGTCTATTATGTGTTTCATCATGCTTTCTTTCTAGTTAGGGCCATGGTACACTACGGGGCTTACCAAGTAAGGTCGTGACAGTAGTGGCGACATTTCACACTCGCATCATGATGATGTGGATAGTATTCCATAATTTTTGAAAAAACGTATCACTTGTGAAATTGGTATGGTACACGAAAAACATATTCACTGGGATTTTGTTGTGTAGACAACGTTCACAACTACTTATTTAGGGGAAAATGTTGGTTAATAAGTGGATTCATTGATTCTTACACAAGTGAATGTGTTGTTTTCTCATGGTAATGTTGAAAACTGAGGATGAATTTCCAAATTATTTACGTGGTATTGGCATAAGTGACTGAATGTACAATTGCGCTAGCCATGTTAATGAATCTTGATTGAACTTCTATATTTGGGAGAATAAAAAACTTTTGTAGTTTGGAGAATTGCAGTGTATGGTCGTACAAAGCAATTGATCTGTACCAAACTACAAGCTCGCTAAAATTACTAAATTTCACTCGGGAAAATTAAAATATGAACTTCATGTTTCATAGATTCATAGTAGCAACCACATTAAAGTTAAACTCGGCACAGTATAGAGGCATTCAAACTTTGTTCCAGAACACATCGATACCTGGATCATGCAGTTGGGCATTTGCTTCTTTTTTTTGGTTTGCATTTCCAAATTGTTTTTTTCTTCCTCGTCTTGTTCCATGTAACTATAAACAACATTAGCACGCGCAACCTCCACCTTGTTGGTCTGCAGAAGAGGTATTTGAGGGCGGCTTCAAGTTCACATCAACCATGTCATCTGGTTTTGCACTTGAAAGGGTCTCCATCCCGGGCAATGCAGCCGCAATCTTGCGGAACAAAGGCTGCAATGCATAAACTTCAAACATAAATGGTGTTCATGCAACTACCTATACATGGGCTTTTAAGATAAAGATGGCCTTGTCTATGAACATGTTGATCTAACTAAAGCTCTATTTGATTGCATGAATATAACAGCTTGTTGTGGAAAAATGCTCGTAAATGTTTTTTAGGAAAAATGGCGAGAAATAAATTCTTCATTATACGATCCCGAGGACTTCTCTCTCAATCTTATCAAGAAGAGTGAAATTATATTGTTTTGAGTTATCACAAAGAGATAATTAGAAACTACAATTTTTTTCCCTTCAAAAGTAAATACTATGAAACCAAGGCTATGTCCGGCCAACCGTTTAGTAGGTAGTTTCAAGTTATGTTTCCCTCTTACATCCAAATTGGAGCGGTTATTGTCATTGTAGCATTTCAATTAGACTTATTACTTTTTCTTTCAAAAAATATCTCTTGCTTTTTTTAAAAAAAAGTTTACTTTGTCTTCCTCAAATATTCCCCTATTTAAAAGAACACCCAAAATCCGAAACAAATGGCCCCCAAGTTACTTTGAATAAGGCTTTATGGTTAATGTATGTAGAATAAACCAATTTCTAGAAATATATTTTCCTAGAGGCAAACCTGAATAAAAGAAAAGTCTTCAAATGCAGTCAACAAAATAATACAGAGTTCTATAACAAAAAATACCAACAAAAAGATCTACCATATACCTTGATATTAAATCCCGCCTTAGCACTGGTTTCTATAAACATGACACCAAACTCCCGAGCCCTGGCATCTCCTTCCTCTATAGAAACTTGCCTGTTAGTTTAAGTAGCAGAATCATCTTAGGTACAAGAAAAGAGATAGGACAATGCTACGAAGAACACGCTAAGAGCATCAGTAAAAAATGAATATGCAATGGTAAAAGCATGTTCCTGTTTCACCATTTAGGCAATACACTTCATAAACGTGCAAAAAAGAGAAATCCCCGCCTCACCTTTTGTCAACAAGATCGGTTTTGTTTCCAACAAGAACAATAATGACATCACTACCTCTTTCGGTGCGTACCTCCTCAATCCACTTTGATGTGTTCAAAAATGATTGGCGGTCTGCAAATTTGATTGCTCGGCTTGTTAAGCATTATGTCACATTCGAAAGGTAAAATTGTGTGAAGATAATTGAAAGGGGAAACAAAATCAAGTTTTGATATCCTAATTTATGGCAGAAAAACCAGAGATGTGTGGAAATTTTTGTCACGACCGGCCACTACTCTCTATCAAGGAATCACTCACTTGCCACATCATATACTATCACTGCAACAGAAGAATCTCTAATGTAGCTCGGAATAAGACTTCTAAACCTCTCTTGGCCAGCAGTATCCCTTCATGGAGATGTAATGAAATGTTAAAAGACAATGTCGTAATACTTACGTATTGTATCCCCATGTACAGTGAATTAACAGAGGTTATAAGATAAATCTCTTAGTGAGCAATCAGCATATGTTGCCTCTTGAAAGTGTTTAAATAAAGTTTTAACCTACCAGAGTTGTAGGCGAACTGTCCGATCTTCCAGATACATTGTCTTTGATAAAAAATCAATACCAATTGTAGCCTATATTTTGCAACATATTGTCAGAAAGGCTTCAAAATCCAGCAATATACTACGGAGTATATAAAGTGGAATTAGCGACTTCACGTTTAAGATGACACATCCACTATCCTATGTGATTCAATAGATTAAAATATGATGTTAGTATCAACCATGTATATATGAGAAACTAGCCTCACACTGCATTAAAAATTGCACAAGAACTAGATAGCTAAATAATTATATCTAAAAAAAAATCCCTAACTCTCGGTATTGATGTGGCATCGTATCCTTCTTAGGTTTATATGAGCAAATTAAATTCCAGACCTACGGTAGCATATAAACTCTTGAGAGCTAGAAGTTTGAGGGTAAGAATTGGGCAATTGGATGTCACCTTCATCCAAATATCTGAACATTTCATTAATTAAGCACAAATCAATTAAGAAATCGTGATCCGCCACAGTGCATTCATGTCATTTAGGATAAAAGTGAAGTGTATATGTCCATGTGACCATCCATGTACGAATATGATTCATCATCATCAACACACAGAGAAGTGATTTCTGATGGCGATCTTAAGAAAAAACGAGCGAGAAATAGGAATGATTTGCGAGCGATGGAGAAACAATGGAGATCAAACCTGATAGGTGGTGTCGAACTTGTCGTACATGAAGCGAGTGATGATGCTGGTTTTGCCGACCGATTGATCGCCGAGAAAAACGAGCTTATACTTGGCCAGAGGCGATACCACCGCCATTGTGACGCGTTTCGATTCGAATCTCCTCTGCTTTTTTATAAATGTTTGGTTGGACCAGATCTGGATCGGTGGAATATATGAGGGAGAAGCACGGAGAAGAAGAAGGGATGGAAGAACGGAGTAAGAAATGCGTAAGCTGCTTTGAATCATCCTTTTATATACGGGTCGAAGATGAAACCGCCAACCAAGCCGGAACACCCCATTTTCCAAAATTGTAAGAGTACCATTTTACTTTGTCAGTCCCTGAGTGTTTGTCCACTTTTGACTTTTGGAACTGTTCATATAAGCACTTTGACTCATCAAATTTTCTCAATGTGTACGTCTAAAAATAGTCATGTGTGATCTTGTTTGATTCGTCTTAACATATAGATTATTAATATATAATTTTTATAATTTTTTAATATAAAATGGATTAAAAAAGTGCATTGGATGGTGTGCAAAAATGAAAGTGGACAAATACTTAGGAACGGAGGGAGTATAATTTAAGCCTCCTCAAAGTATTTTAGTAGGGTTATTTATAGGGAAAAAGACTACTACGTAAAATAGAGTAAAATATGAAAAAAAATATTAATCTGTCAATATATATCTCAGGATATTTGTTTTATTTATATTCTCTCCGTCAAAAAATATTTTACACTTTATACAAAATAAAATAAAACATCAACATTTTTTAATTTGTTTTATTTAAAGTTTAGTAAAGAAATTTAAAATAAAACTTTCATATTTAAAAATTACGGAGTTCGTCTAAAGTTCTATATAACAAGACGCGACAAGAATATTTTATTTTATCAAATAATCAATAAAAAACAAATAAATAAAAATTTTCTTGATTTTTAAAGAGTGAGAGTAAAATTTTCGTGAGAAAGTAAAATTCTCCCTCTTCACATGTTCATGCCAAATGCCACCTGAAATGTTTTGTGCCAATTAAAAAAACTTTTAAAAGTAACCAACAAAATAAGAAAGTGTAAAGGTGATTGAAAAAAAATATAAAAATAATTAAAAAATAAAAAGGTAATCAAAGTAATCACAATTAGGAGTTACTTATACTAAAAATATCTAATTTCATATATTTAGGACTTGTTCTTTTCATCTAATCTGACTAAAAGAAATTTTGATTTTATCTGATTATGATTATATTTAAAAGTGTTTATGATATGTTCCAATAAAATCTAAATATCTAATATGATTTGATTCTAATATAAGTAAATAAAAAGTATAAAAACAATTTGAAAAAAAACAAGTTCTTAATTCATTTTTGTAAAGCAAAAGCATCATCTAACAGTAGTGCAGTGTTATTTGGACTTATAACAGTTTTGGAATAAATAGGTAAATAGTCCGCAGCCCAAATGACCAAATAACACTGCGCTCATGTGTTCACCGTTCTGAGAAGCTAGAACCGCTACAGCACACCAAATCTAAAAGAGAGAATTCGATAATTTGATACGGACGGACCGGATCCGTCGACGGCGATCTGTATTTCCGATTCCCCATCTCCGATTCCACGGCTGTTCTCTAGGTGCGATTTCTTTGATTTATTCTCCTTGTTTGGAATGCTTTATTATAATCCGATTTCTTGTTTAAATGAATTGTTCGTTCGCTCGGTTTGGTGATGAATGATTATCCGATGAAGCTTCTGTTCTGCGGATATGAATTCGTCTCTCTTTTTCATTAACACATATGCAAACAGATTTGGATTCATCTTCTCATTATATTCGTCTCTGTATATGGATAAGCATGGCTCAGTAAAATGTTTGTATTTAATTTTTTAAAAGTCTAAATGGTTTTTTTTATGAAGTCTGCATTTTTTTTATCAAAACCCTAGGCGAGGAAGCCATTTCTGGGACATAAAGCTCACATTTCCAGTGGAAGGAAGGGAAAATGGGAAGCAGATTGGGAAGACGAGTCGTGCACTTTGCTAACCTACCCATCAAACTTCTCATGCCCTCTTCGTTCTCCAATATTACCGAAATCGCCCTCAAAACCATCCCTTCTGCTTCGAAGGTACATTGTCTTTGTCCATTTACTGCTTTTTTGTGTATTTTATTTATTCATTGGCCGAAGATTGGAGTTTTAGAAGTCACTTGCCTCAGATTGAGATAAAGAGGGTTTTGGAGTCTGTCTACGGATTCGAGGTGGAGAAGGTCCAAACCCTAAACATGGATGGAAAGAAGAAGAAGCGAGGCGGGCTATTGATCGCCAAGCCGGACTACAAGAAGGCATATGTCACCCTGAAGAATCCTTTGTCCATATCGCCCGATCTTTATCCGATCAGCCTGATTGAACAGTACAAGCAGGAGGCGAGAGCAAAGTTGAAATCCAGAATCGTTGAGGATGGTGAACCAAAGAAAATGCATTGGCTTGAAGAGAAGAAAGAGAGAGGGAAATCAAGACCGGAGATGAGGTTTGATCGGGGCCGCGGTGGAGATCGGACCAGGAATGTTCGTCGTGGTGGTTCCGAGGCGGCTGAGGCAGTCAAGTTTCCCTGGAGCAGTATGAAGTCTTTTGCTTCCAGGTAGGGTTTTTCAAAATTTGAAGTAAAAGCAACAAGTGTTGAACTTCTATTGCATTCTTAGAGCTGTTTGCAATGCTAGTAACTGAAGAATTGGTTTCATTTGCAACCCTTTTGTCTTATGGAGACTGGAGAGAAGCTATGTTTGTAGTTGTTTTTCAATGGGATGATGACTTCTTGTCTCATGTTAGTTTAGATCAATGCATTAATTCTTCCTTTTTAAACTGATATGTGATCACAAAACAATACAGATATTCACCTAAACTTTCCATGGGTTTTCTTCTTCTTTTCTTCTTCAAGTATAATGTCCTTGAAAATCTTAGTGTGGTAGAACAATGGCGAGTTCTTTTCAACTTATTTTCAGTTTAGATCTTAGTTTGGAAATCATTTTCCCCATTTTCCGGTGTTTGGCAGATCAAGAGAATGAAGTCAATGGAAAATGAACCCTTGGTCAAATGGAAAATGAAATCTTAAATCTGAAATTTGACTTCCGGATAATTTTTAAGTCATTTCTGATTCTCTTCTTCCCTCTTTGCTCTTCGCCCACTCTCGCGCATCTAGCTTTTTCCATCACCACCATCCACATAGTCTTTGTCCCCATCTCAATTAGCCCTTCCCCCATCTCCATCGCCACCATCCACATCATCTCCATCTCCATCTCCATCTTTTCTTGCAGAATGAGTGCTTTTTAGTTTGATCTGGATTTTTCTTGGCTCATTTTTTATCTCACTGGTTAGCAATCTAGCCTCATTTTTTGGATATAAATTATTGATTTCGCATTGGTAAATCAACTTGTAGAAAAGTTAATAATAATTTCAAAAAAAATTCATTTTGTAAATAATCATTTACTAGAAAATGAACCAAACAGGAATAGGCATTTTTCAGACTTATTGCCAAACACCGGAAACAGAAAATGATTTTAAGAAGATAACTCAGTTTCCTGAAGCTAGTTTCTGGGAATCACTTTCCAAGTTTTCAAACGGACCCTTAGTTTTGTAGATTTTGAAGGAAAAGAACAGGCCTTGTATATAAGAACATCTGGGTTACATGTTTCATAATATGTCTACTAAAGATTCATTCGAAAGCATTCAAACACCATTTACTACGTTTCAGATTGGGGACTGAGCATTTCTTCACTTAGGAATTGGGATTGGTTTATCATTCCTTTCATCTTCTTCCCCACCCATTTGAAAAAAAAAGGTTCCTATATTTTTTTAAAATGTAGATTCTTGGCTTCTGTTTGCTCTTGCTTGTACATGATGAATTGAAACAGCATCAATGATAGTCTTGATAGTATGTCTGGACACGGGCCGGTTCTCGAACTGTCGGTTCGGGCACCGGCCTAAGAAGATACTGCCACCGGCTCTCAAAAGCACATTAGAGGTTAAACTATTTCTGTCTTGGGGTTTTTTTAAAAAAAATATATTTAACCTCAATACAAAGCGTTTATAAATTACTAACCTTATAAAAGCATAGTTAGAGTGTGTATGTTGCATGTAATGAGAGAGATATGTACTTGTATCAAACTGTAACCATATACTCTAATGGATTATTCACCACCAGTTTACAGGTTGGTATAAAGACAAAATTACCATTGATAAATGGGAGTATCAATCAGTTCCCAGGTTTGTAAAAGGTAAAATCTTTGCTTGGTTGTACGACAGAGCTAGAAACACTAAGCTCTCTATGTGTGTTAGTAAATTCAGAAGCATTTGAAGTATGGTGACGGCAATATACGTACACAAAGAAATTCCCTGCAGCCACGATATTTGTACATTCACAATTCCTTCTTCTGGAGACGGTAGGGGTATTTTTGGTAAATAGAGATGCTGGTCATGACCAGTGGAAGTGCTATGAGGCAGTACACTGAAGGAGGTTTGCCATCAAAGATGAACTGCAGTAGAGCAGTCACCAGAAGGGCAGAAACCATGACAAAACCCTGCAACAACAACAACAACAAAACACTGTAATATCAACCAACAATAGAATTGTTAATGAAGCAAATAATTTTGATTCAATTTGTAATTGGAATATGACTTCAAATAAATTGAATACAAATTTGAATTCAAATACACGTTTTGATTAAAATATTAAATGACAATAAAGACAAGCATATTTGATTCAAATGATAATTTAAAATTCATAGTTGTTCCAAAATGAGTATTTAAGCAAATTTAGTCCTCAGTCTGTCCCAAAATTATCTTCTTGTTTCGAACTTGTAAAATTTTATCTCTTTTAAAATGATTTTATTTATAAATTGGTCCATAAATAAAAAGTACAATTTACATATTTAAAGATGGATGTGTGGGAAGACAAGGTTGGATAGGATTTTGAACGAAGTCATCCGACGTCAGGTAGGCATGGCGCCGGTGGAAGATAAGTTGCGGGAAGCGAGGTTGAGATGGTTTGGGCATGTGAGACGGCGGGATGTTGATGCCCCTGTGCGGAGGTGCGAGAGGATCACGGTTATCGGGGGAAGTAGGGGAAGGGGTAGACCTAGGAAGAATTGGAAGGAGGTGATTAGGCAAGATTTAGGACTTCTCACCCTGACTGAGGATATGGCCTTAGATAGGAACCTTTGGAGGACTAGAATTAGAGTAGCTGGTTAGGAGCTCGGTGTTGTAGAGGTTTTTTGTAGTGTGTTGTGTTTGTTTGGTATCTTCTACTTCTGCTTGCTGGACTTTCATTTCATTGTACTTGGTGCTTTATCCTGTTATATCCTGTTATCCTGTTATATTGTGTTCCCTACCATATTTTTTGTGCAGGTTGAGCCGGGGGTCTCTTGGAAACAGCCTCCCTACTTTCGAATAGGGGCAAGGTCTGCGTACACACACCCTCCCGAGACCCTACTGTAGTGGGATTCAACTAGGTTGTTGTTGTTGTTGTTGTATTAAAAGTTCTACAAAACAAGTAGTCACATGCATATTTTATTTTATGAAATGATCAATGAAAACGCACATGCAAACAGAAGTTATTGGAAACCCAAAATAGTAAACCACATGATGATTTTGGGATGGAGGGAGTAATTTTACATAAAATTTAATTAAACTGACATAAAAATCTAAAATATAGGAAGCAGTGATTTTCAAAAGTCATGCTTAGTGAAACATGATTTTTGTTTGGATCAAGTACACTAGCATTTTTGAAAAAAAGAACGGAGTATAAGAATTTTGAATTTGAATATTCAAAGTGAATCAATTATGTACAAAGTAGACGATTCGAATACGAAATAATTTTGAAATTTGAATGTTAAAAGAAAGAATATGAACACCTTCAAAAAATATTGCATGCAAATGGAATATCCGGATATTTGATTCGTTTAAGACCCTAGTCACTAGTGAATAAATGAGATGAGAAGAATGTATCAGTTGAGAGCGGATGTGAGTTAAACAAAAGGACTTAGAGGACTGCTGTAGAGATACTTACCTTCCGTACACCACCAGCATAGGAGGTCACAAGACCAACAAGAATTCCACCAATTGCATTGATTGTGACAGGGATCTGAAATCAAACAAATTAATTCAAATAGATACATACTCCATGTATAATAATCCCAACTCTGTTGGGATTTGAGGTTTAAATATACACCGTCTTATCCCTATAAAAACACAGTCTATTTGTGCTAGACCCTTGATCCATTGTTGCATTAACTATCCAAAATTTTCATAGAAGCAAAAGAAGTGTAACGTGTTATTTTGAGTATGTCCGTCTTTATCTGAATCTAAAACAATGTCGATAGCGACTCTTTTAGCACCATTGTTAACAGACACAAAAACAAAGGATTTTTTTTTAAATTAGTACTTACATCTCATCTAACAAATACGGTATATCATAAATTTGCACTCTTGGATAGGGCTACGGTGACAAACTATGGATTAAATTTTAAATCATAGCGAACAACAAACCCAATATAATCCTAATTCTGTTGGGGCCTGGATCAAAATATATGCAACCTTACCCTTGCACTCTTGTAGAAAATACAAAGCAAGGAAAGTTTAAAGTGATGTTTGGATTTTGTCCATTACTTACCCAGACCTAAAACCTAGTAACAAGTGACTCTTTTAGCTCCACTAGAAATGAAGCTAAAGTGACTCATATCCCAGGTTATCAAAAAACAAAAACAGAAAGCACTTCTCTATATACGTAGTATATCATAAAGAGTATGTACCAATGTTAATGGAGTCCATGCATAGAAGAATCCATGACGTCTGATAGCTTCTCCATCTGGAGACTTGAAAGAACTAGCTATCATGCAAAGGCTTCCAATTATGGACATCTCTATTGTCATCATGTAAGAACTGTGTTTTTTGACCTGTATATACAGTAGAGATACAGTCATAAAGAAAATGTATTAAATAAGGAACCACAGAGTGGTCAGCACTTAGCATAGCATAGAGAAACGATGATGAGGTCTGCTTGCCTGAGAGGCCCATTGACACAATGCAGAAGCTAGTCCAGACAGTACAGAAGCTACCAAGACAGGAACAATCCCATAAAATAAGACTTCATCAGAATTATTATTATTATTATTTCTACCAAATGCATTGCTGGAGCCTTCTCCAATACTTAAAAGGACAGCTGCAATGATCAACAAGAAAAGAGCCCCGATTTGTTGAATAGATTGCTTCTGCCTACAAAATAACATAAAAATTGGACTTCAGAATATGTTTGCATGCCAAATTTGAAAAAAAACATAATTACAATAGCATCACTACACGTTGAGGCTCTTCAAAATTATAATCAGAGTTAGATCACAGAAACTTGATTTGACAGTCAGGGTACTTATGTTACCCCTTTCGCTAAGCCAGTATGCAATTGCGCATAACCTCACTCGCAATCAATTTAATGTATTATTAGGCTGAGAACTACTAACTAGTAACCAGTTAGCAATATATGTCACTGCCAAAATCAGTACTAATAAATGAAAAATAAGCGCATACCTCAATATGAAAAATGTAAACAATGCAGTGAAAAACAGCTTTGTTTGGTTCAGGATTGAAAATGTGAGTGAATCAAGATTTCGGTATGAAATCTGCAACAAGCTATTCTGAAGCGCATATATAGCGGCAGGTAGTCCAGAGGCAGTCAACGAGCCAACCAAAGTCCAATTTTTGTATAGTTTCTTCAGATTGCCTTGCTTTGCTATGATAATAAAAGCACTAGTAATCTGCAATTGAATACCAATGCCACTGAATATACAAAACAATGAATTGAAGGTCAACCAAAAATTTGAGAGAAGGATGGTAGCTTAGTGATATAAAAATAAAACAAGACATTACCTTGACTACCTCACATGCTAAAACAGATGATGTCACAATCACGTTTCGGCTGCAGGAAGAAGAATATGAAGTCTAAGAGAGAACATTTTTAGGGGTGATACGACAAAAAGATTTAACAGCATATAAGATAACATTAGCTGGAACAAGTATTATTAGCCTTAGCTCTAACTTTGAATTCCACTTGCTGTTAATCCAGCAAGTATGCTTAAGCTGGCAACTACTCCGTATTTTTCATTAGATAATGATGCTTTACTTGCCGGTGATGCCAAAATTGATCGTATTAAAAGCTCCTTCCTTCCCAAAATGGATGTTACTTTGAGAATTCGTGTCAAACATTGATATTTAATTTCTATTAAAAAACAAAGTAAAAATTATAATTTGAGTCAATGCTCATTTTAGCACATGCAACTGTAAATATCGAGTTAGCTTGTATGTTAAGATGACTCAAATTACTGTAAGTGCAGTCCACAGTCAATTTGGCCCTCGTATGTAAGGTTGACTCAAATTAGTCCCTTTACGAGAAAATATGAATCAAGTTAGTGTTTCATACGAAACTTGTTACTAAAATATTGAGTTAGCTTGTTAAATGAAGCGAGGACAATGACCTTGTGTATTAGTTCTTTGTCAATTAACATGCCTTAGTTATACCGTAATGGGACTAGCTCAATTCAGATATTTTTTTAGATTCAGGGAGTAATTGACTCAGTCCAACATACCAGACTAAATTCAATCACAGGTCCAAAATGTGTATTCTAGTGACTGAGAATTATAAGAGATTAAGTTTTTAGGGAGGGAGTATCAACTCTCTAAAATAAGAAGAAGCATGCATTCCCGGAGTACATACAAATTGAATTTAGACATATGTACGGAAGTCATTGATAACACTGATTTGATTTCGAAGAAAAACTACGGAGATCGATCACGAGAGAACAGGTTAGCAGCAGAATGAGAACCTGACAAAGCGTTTGGAGATGAGCGGCTGAACGCCGTACTGGATGGTGAGGAGCAGCGAAAAGAACCAGATCTTCGAGCTAGAGCTCGCACCCGGACGATTCAATTTCGGAGCTTTCGATTTGGCCGCCGACATTCTCAGGCGGCGAGATCAGTCGCCTTTCTCGCCGGCTATCAGACGGCAATGAAGTTGGAATGCTATCAGCGGGATGCTGTAGTCGACGGGAAGTTCGGCGACGAGGCTGCGCGAGGTGCTGTTGAAAATTTCGTTGGCGGTATATGTGCGCTTGATTGCTGCCGGGAAAAAGGTGCATATATGCCTGCCTCCTGGAGGAGATTGCTAGGGACCGCCATATCGGGTAAAAGAGCATATGTTCAATATTGGTTCGATTTAATTGATGCTCTCAAGAAAGTATGAGAAAACAAGTAGGGGAAGAAAAAACCCAAATTAGTATGATATACTGTAATTCAGAGTACTCCCTCCGTCCCACTGTATTTGTACACATTTGACTTTTGGAACTGTTCATCTTAACACTTTGACTCATTAAATTCTCTCAATGTGTAAGTCTAAATATAGTCATGTGTGATCTTGTTTAATTTGTCTTAACATATATATTATTAATATATAATTTTTATAATTTTTTAATATACAAATTACAAGATAAAATGGATTAAAGAAGTGCATTGGATGGTGTGTAAAAATGAAAGTGGACAAATACAGGGGGACGGAGGGAGTATGAGATTGTAATGATATCAACTTGTTTATTGTGTACTCATACAATTTTGTATCGTACATACGGAGTATTAGACATACAAAAATGCAGAAAATTTGTTAAAAAGAGTTTCATATCAAAACTTGAAATTTGAAGATAAAATAAATAGGTTTTTAAGCTCTTAAGTTGAGAGTAATCAATTAAAATGAATCTTTTAATGTGGTTTAGCTCAAGTATATTACATCATAATCTAGTAACTCTTTTCTAATTTTAAATTCTATCATGATAGCAGAGCAAATTTTAGTCCAATACATATTCTATAGCTAACTATAAGAGATTGAGATGATAGACATATTTATCCAAGTACTGACTATACTAGGCTAATAACCAATTGAAGGGGAGTGTTGAGTTCTCACGTCGAAAAAATTAAAGAAATACCACTATATGTGTGTGTATGTTTGTGTGTGTGGATATGCAATACCTATCAAATTAAGCTTTTGGTTTAAAAAATGGATCTCGAGTTTATTTGTAAATGGTTAATTTTATCCGGCAATATGTCCCTTTTTCTCGGCCTACTAGAGTTTTGACATAGTATCGAAGTCAATTTTAACCCACCTCGTCTATCAAGGTGCTCGTCTAGAAATTCATTCCTAGCGGTCCTAGTATTTAGCCCAGTTAATCGTATGGAATGCAAATTCAATAGCTTGTGAATGTTTAACCTGATTTCTTATCTAGAAGTCCATACCCAGTGGCTCATGGTACTTTAATTAGTTCTTGGCGCTTAAAAAATCAAGGGAAGATAATCCATTTGCAAGTGGTTAACTGATTAGAGACAAATGACCTAAATGTCTACTTGAGGAGGAGCGTTAAGTAGAGGCATGTATCGGAACTTGAAGAGAAAACACATGGTTTCTAAATTCTAAGTTTTTGAGTAAAACTAAGTAAACAATTGAATTTAATCTTTTGATGCGTTTCAGCATAAATGTCGTATGCCTCACTCCAATGATCCCTACCCAAAAAAAAAATCCCTACCCTGTCCAAAATTTATATTGGAGTTCTTTCTCTCAATTATTCCTAGCAGTCTCAATTTTTTAAATAAATAAAAGGATAAGAAATATTGCATTTAGACAAACCCTATTTAGAGGGACGATCCTATACATGGTGTTGCTAAATTCACTCTTCTTTCTGCTTTATCTATCTCATTTATGGTAAATGTCCAATTTTATCCTTAAGTTAGTATATATGTTGCTTTTTCTTAAATTATTTTTATACTTTAAGGATAAATTTGTCATTTTTTGACAAAAAATGTGAATATATAAAAACGATGAGTGAATTTAGGAACACACTTTTTATTCTTACACTACAAAAACTGCTAAAATCGCGACGGAAAAATTCCGTCGCCAAAGGCTTATTTCCGTAGGTAATCGGTTTAACGACGGTTTTTTTCCGTCGTTATTTTTTCGTTAGTATCAAAGTTAGCGACGGTTTTTGAGTTCCGTCGCCAGGCAACGACGGAATTGGCGACGGAAAATGGCGACGGTTTTAGCGACGGAATTTTTCCGTCGCCACATTTAACGACGGAAATGCCGACCCTTATAGCAATGTGACCACATAGCGACGGAATTAGTATTCCGTTGCTAATTCCGTTGCCGAATTGACAGCAATTGCACAAAATCCTGCAATTTTTTCAATTTCACACAAGAACAACATCAACCTGCTCTAAATCACAACACAGCATCAAACAACCAATAAATACTAGAAATGAAGAGTACCAAACAACCAAAAATATTCAAATCACTCAGCCACAATTAAAATTCAAATAATATTTATAAAATTTAACTTAACAAAGATATCTAACTCCACTTACATAACCATAAAACTTAAGTTTAATATAATGTTCTTCAATTCTAATAAAACACTCAACAAGTGACTGCGAACCCCGACCCTCCTCCATCTCCACTGCCATCTCCATTTCCACGTGGGAAAACTCCTCCACAGAGTTGGGTCATTTCTTCTCTAATCGACTAGCTCTAATTTCGTCTAGCTCTCCTCTCAACCTCCTGATCTCATCATAGAGCTGGTGCTAGCACGTCTTGCCTCACTTGCATGCATTCGTGGTAGGCTCCGTGCGAGATCTCCAACACCATGAACCCGATTCTTGGCATCATGTCCTTCGACTGTAGATCTAAAAATCTCGTCAGGTGTCACATTTAAGCCTTGTTCACGAACTGCCTCCTGCATGGCTACGTAGTTTTGCTGCAATACACCAAACATACATGTATTATGAATTCACATTCAATTGTGATGGGTGTATTTCACCCATGACCGGTCAAGGGTCCGAATCCGAAAATTGACCGGTCAAAGAAGTCAAACTTGAAAGGGAGATCTGAGTCGTCAGCGGAGGGATGGTTGGTTGACCAGACTAGTTGACCGGTACACTTCGGATTAGTGTACCGGTCAAACTACTCCATCGCCTAAATTCATCCTCCGAAGTTAGCCAAACCAACCCTCGAAGATCACCCGGTCTAGTTTCCGAAGATCGGAGAGTGTCGGCAGGAGGAATCAAAAAGGATTTGGACTATAGTGGTTGGAATTGCCGAGATGCTGAANACCTCGCAATACATCAGCAACGTGCCCCCACGTGGGCGCACGTGGTCTTGCCCCCCAGCTTAGTATATATAGCACTTGTAACCCTCGAAGAAGGGGATCCGAATTCACTCTCTCTAAACTCCCTTGTAAAAGTGACCGTGCATTCTCTGTTTTAATATAATTCGGGCTACAGGTGTTCCACCTAAAGTCCTACCGGTCATTCTGAGTGTTTTTACTTTCTTTACTTTACTGAATCAAGCCAACTATTCTAGACCCGGTCTAGTATAGTTTGACCGGTCAAGTAATTTACACCATCATTTTTGGCGCCGACCGTGGGACCATTAAGGTTTCTTCTCTTCTAAATACAAACCTACCCGCAAAAACACCACTCAAAATGTCTTCCAGCCAGCAAATCAACGCCACCTCTGCTCAGGTGCAAGCCACCACTGAAGGTGCCAGCATCCCCATGGCTGTTACCTCTGCTCCGGTTTTGCCATTGGGACTGGGCTCGGTTCCAACACCCAGCATGGTCAGCCCATTCACGGCCCCCGTCCCTTCCGCTGGGCCAAAGGTCACCTTTCCACCAAGCATGGCCCAGTTCATGAATGACCCAGCCAACTTACAAGCCATCCAGGGCTTTGGCCAGGTCATGGCCATGTGCCAACAGAATGGGGGAATGCCTTTCCTCCCAGGCATGTTTCCATTCGCCCTTCTAGGTGGTGGAACGATGCCCCTTCAAGCTCCGATGGCAGTGACGCCATTCCAGACGCCGGTGCCGCAACCATCACCTTTCCAGCCGCAGCTGGTCAGCACCATGGCACCTGTCAATTTGACTGGTGCGCTCAACGCCGCAGGGCCATCGCGTCCCCCGCAAGGTATGAATCCGTTAATCACTCCGGATGGACACTGCGTCTCGGTTGAAAGCGGAGACGACGAGTGGGACATTCCGAGGGCCCACAAGAAGAAGAAAGGAAAGGACATACGCCCCGCCACTTCCCGAAACTCCGCCTTCGAAAGGCTGGGGGATAGGGAAGAGGGCCAGAGAAAGTCAGCCAAGCTGAGACTGGGGCAGAGCGTTGCCCATGTCAGCGCTTTTGCCCGGTTGGGTGAGATGCGGGAGGCCGAGCCTGCCCGCACCCAACGTTCCCGATCAAACCGGCAGGAGCCAGCCAGGACGAGGGTCTCTCGTCAGGAGGAGGAAGCAGAAAGCAAGCCCAGAGTACCGGTAGCTAACCGGTTAACCGTTCCCAATGACCGCGTCCAACAGATGGAGGCGAAGTTGGAGAGGCTGGAGAAGAAAGTCGGGGAGAAGGGTGACCGGGGCAAACCTCTCGCGGGTTCCCCGTTCACCGCAAGGGTCCATCTGACACCTTTCCCGCGAAAGGTTAAGATAGACGCCCCAAGGTTCACCGGTAAGGAGGACCCAGAGATCCACATGGACTCCTTCAATCAGAGTGCAACCATGAACGGTTGTACAGATGAAGAAAAATGCCTCCTTTTCTTCCAAACCTTGCGGAATCGAGCCACTGAGTGGTTCAACAAGCTTCGCCCGGGAAGCATTGACTCATTCAGTGACTTGGCCTCGAAATTCAAGGCCAAATTTCAGGAGAACTGTACTAAGAGGAAGAAATTCACCTATCTTAGTACAGCCGGGCAGCGGGAATCAGAGAACCTCACTCAATTCCTTACCCGGTGGAAGGAGGAGGTAGACAAGGTTGAGGAAATGGATGACAAGACAGTGTTGTCCCTCCTCCTGAATGGTTTGCGAGCCGGGGAACTTTACAAGGAATTCTGCCGAAAACCCCCGGCCACGTACCAGGAGGCCTACCACACTGCATGGGAGTTCGCCGAGGCAGAAACCCAACTCCGGGCGAAGAAAGAGGCCGACCATGGTTACAAGCCCAAGCCGGTGCCAGTCAAGAAGGAAGAGGCGCCGGGATCCAACCGGCCAAGGCACCACAATGACCCGGTCGTCCGCGTGGTCAACACAGAAGAGTGCCAGGAGATAAGGAAAGCACCGGCTACCTACCCGGTCATTCCTCCGGAAAATCCTACTGGTCAAACTGGGCGCCAGTGGTCGGGCACCTATTGCTCATACCACCGGTCAGATTCCCATAACACATCAGAATGCAAGAGTGTTAAGGGAGTGATCCGGCAGATGATAGATAGCGGGGAACTGGGTAAAGATTATCTACAGAAAGCCCAAGAGAAGAACCACCAATGGGTTAGGCCAGCGGCCCAGGAAAGCGACCGGGATAAGGACCGGCGGAGGAACAACCGGCCGAGGGAACAACCTCCCCCTGACAAAGAGTATATTAGAATGATCTTCGGCGGACCCGAGGGGGGAGATTCAGCCGCGCAGCGGAAAAACTGGGTCCGCAGCATTTACGTGGGTGAAGTAAGTGCTGAACCGGCCAGGCGTAAGTATCCCAGGAGGGAGCCAATAGTCTTCACTGACCGGGACCTCCCTCCTACCGGTGAAGATCACAATGATCCATTGGTCATCACCATGGACATCAACGGGGTGGACGTCGCCCGGGTACTAGTTGACACCGGCAGCAGTGTCAACATCCTGTACCTGGAGACCTTCCAAAAACTCAGGTTGTGTCGGACACAACTTGAACCCCTCAAAACTCCTCTCTCAGGTTTCACGGGGGACACAGTGGAAGCTGAGGGGTCCATAGTTCTACCGGTCGAACTAGGATCGGGCGAAAAGACCGTGTGGAAGAGGATGCGGTTCATCGTTGGGGACATCAAATGCGTCCACAACGCCATCCTTGGAAGGCCTGGCATCAACAAGGTCGGGGCGGTGATTTCCATGCCGCACCTGTGCATGAAGTTCCACACTTCGGGCGGTGTGGGAGAAGTGAGGGGCGACCAGAGGAATGCCCGGGAGTGCTATGCCCGGGCGGTTAAAAAGATGACTAAGGGGGTCAACGTCATATCCCAAGAGATCACAAAGGGAGAGACCCGGGAGAAATTGGAGCCCGAGGCCGAGACGGTGGAAATCGAACTTCACCCGGGTGATTCTTCAAGGATGGTCAGAATTGGAGCGAACCTCCCAGAAGATCTCAAGGCAGAGATTACACGGGTGCTCCAAGAGTACGCGGGCATATTTGCATGGAGCGTGGCAGATATGCCCGGAATAGACCGCTCAATCATCTGTCACCGGTTGGCAGTAAGGGAGGTAAGTCGACCGGTACGCCAGAAGAAAAGGTACCTGGCCAGCGACCGACGAGACTTCGTCAAGAAGGAGGTGAAGGACCTCCTTAGTGTTGGTCACATTCGGGAAGTTAAATACCCGGATTGGCTGGCCAATGTGGTTCTTGCTCCCAAGGGGGACACATGGAGAATGTGTGTGGATTACACGGACTTAAACAAGGCGTGTCCGATGGATTCATACCCCCTCCCTAGTCTAGATCAAATGGTGGACGAAACTGCGGGGTGCGAACTCCTAAGTTTCATGGATGCCTTCAAGGGCTACCACCAAATCTACATGGCCAAGGAGGATGAAGAGAAGACGTCATTCCTCACACCCGAAGGAACCTACTGTTACCGGGTAATGGCGTTTGGCTTGAAGAATTCGGGGGCAACCTACCAGCGCATGGTGAACAAGCTCTTCAAGCCACT